AACCCTAACCCTAACCCTAACCCTAACCCTAACCCTAACCCTAACCCTAACCCTAACCCTAACCCTAACCCTAACCCTAACCCTAACCCTAACCCTAACCCTAACCCTAACCCTAACCCTAACCCTAACCCTAACCCTAACCCTAACCATATTCTCCAATTTATCAATATATACTTATTACCATACTGGTAAGAACACTATTTGTGATAGAAACTCTTTCCCTAAGATGCTTATATATCAAACTATATTGATTTGAATTTATTTTAGTTCATTCACCCTTGTAATATACACTGTGTTCTCGTTTTTGTAATTCATTTCTATCTAGCTGTCTTAATGTCAATATGTTCATTGGGGTCAAATTAACCTCTGCAAGCGATAAACTCTTAGTACATCGGTTGGGAAGACTGGAAAGAGAATACAGGAATAGGCAAGGCATAGGTTCGTTTGTTGGTAGTGGATATCATAATTGAGGTAGTTCGGCCCGGGTTCGAAGCACATCTGGTAACACTTCGATAGATTCCACTAGTCTGCGCCGGGTCCATAGGTCGATTCCAGGATGCCTTTTGGCAAGATGGGTGGTAACTTCTCTGGCCAAGCATGCATATTGACATTTCTGACAAACAAGAATCCGATATTGAGGAAAAAGCATTAACGGGTATCCAGGGTTAGAAGGGCCGAGCTCGGTCAAAGGCTCGAGTGTCATGGTCTGGCGAATCAGTGCTGTAAGCAACCAACATTAGTTGCTGGCTCGGTATCATATTTGTCGCGACGGATACTGATGTATCGGAGTTAACACTTGACGCACTGCTGTTAAATGTTGTCATGACTGGACGTATAGCCAAGCACCAATCAGAAACCCAAGTCAGCCCCCTGTCAAAATTGAGCTTACCCTAACGCTAGTCCATTTTTCGAAATTCAAGTCTACCCCTTGTCAAAAATCAATTCTACCCCCTGTAAAGTGGAGTAAATTAAATCAATTGTACAACAATTGATTTAGGACTGTAGGACTAGGACTGGTGACCAAGACTGGTGACCAGGCTGTTAATTATAAAAAACTAATCGGCTGGCGGACTATATTACCCTCTAGACTATCTATCCTCTTCTTCGTCCTATAATTACTAACTATTCGCTACTCTGAGGTTTTTTGAGAATGTTTAAAGCTTTCTCTAAATCGCTTATCTTCTTTTTAATTCGGCTGCAATTCCTCTTGGTGGCCTTAGACTCACCGGCGATACGGTTAAGATCACCGTTATCCAAGCCCAGGACCTAATCCTAAGTAAATACCTTAAGAGGGCTTCCTTCTCCGTGCAGCAGATGGTAGTTTACAGTAAGCTGGAAAATATTATCGATATATTAATCCCGCGCCAGGATATAGTAAGCCCGGAGGATATTATAAACCTCTTGTTGCAAGTACTTAGCATTGCTCTGTGCCTTTGTTACGCCAGGGATATCTCGGAGATTAACTATATACTGGATCTCACTGTACTGCTTAGTGTCTTTCCTCGCTGTTCTATAAAGGGAGCCTATTAAGCGCTTGCCTTTTATCTCTGCCAGGCTTTCGTTAAAGCGCTTATTAAGCGTATATAGCTACTTCTATTAATTAACGTAGATTAAGAGCTCTACTTATTCCAGGGCTCTCCTATAGCCTGGCAAAAGACCTTTAAGAATCTCTCTCTATAGCATTTAATAGATCTCTTAATCTCGATAGATCTTACTTAATATAACTTTAATAAAGCAATAAACTATAAGGATTACTCTATTTATATAATTGCCTATAACAGCCTTTTATTTCTGAGATTATTCTGCAAAGGCCGCCCGGAGAGTTAATAATATCACCAAGCTCTATTAATTCCTATTCTATACCCCTATTAATATTTGAAATATTAATAAGTTCCTATATAAGTTAGATATATAAATAGAAAGCTAAGCTTTTTTTTTCTTTAGCGCTATTTAACTTATCCTTAGAATCCTAATATTATGACCAGGTCATATATACCCCACTTTCTCACTTTTCCACTTTGACATGACCCACTTTTACACTCACTTTACACCAATTATAACAGGACTGAAAGCTTAACTCTCGGTCCCTGAGCTCTGACTAATCAGATAAGGACTAAATAACTTTATATCAGTCCAGGACTAATAACTTTATATCTCAGTCTAAAGACTGGTATAACGATAATACCTATTGCCTTATACCTCTAGACTAGTATAAATAGCTATACTCTTTAAGCATTAGATTAAACCTAGCTTACTAGCTATTAATAAAATATCTTTACTTAAATATGCCTTACCTACTCTATTTACTATTAAGAGATATAACACTTTGCTATACTTAGTATTATAATGCCCTATATACCTGCTAATATAAACCTAGTATAGACTGGATTATCCCTTAAGAATTATAACTATTACACTTAATCTTTATTTGCAAATTATAGAATATACTAGAGGCCCTTAAAGTTTTTTAAATAAGCTTGCTTATAAAACTTATAATAAAAGACCTCTGTAATATTAGTAACTTGTATAATTAGATGCAATTCCTTATTTATAAAGATTATACTTGCGTTATAATCCGCTGATAATACTACTCTGATGTAGCTCTAGAATTGCCAGGCAATTCGACTGAGAAATATGCGCTATTCTCGATAATTCCAATAGGGTAGTCCTAGCTTATCCAGCTAGTTATTATATATCTTTAGTTATTAGTTAATATCTGCTATTATCTTAGGGAACTCCCTTATAGAGATATTTAATAATAGACCCTGTAATTATTCCTTTAACGCTAAAATGCCTACTCTATTAGGAGGGAGCTGATTCTAAGGGGTATTCCGGAAAGTCTGCTTAAGTTAATAAAGCTTGACTTTTAAACTATTAGTACTGCGATTGCAAATAATATAGTAGCCTAGGGTAAGTAGCCTTTGCTTCCTATAGAGAAGATTATAAACTGCATCTTAAGTACTTTTTTCAGTGATTAAATCGGGCTTAGTGAGAATGCTAAGGGTATGCTCTCTATCCTTATTAAATTCTTCAGCAAGTTGCAGGATTTCTTAGGTAGCAATATTAATATTACTCGGCAAAATAGCTAAGATAACTATGCACTTGTCTTTAATGTACTTTTAGACGAGGTTATTTACTATTTCTATGTTATTTTTAGTTATCCTATCTCCTGCGATATAGAATATTCTAGGAATATTAATAATAGTTAGAAGTTCCTCCTGGAGACTATTAATTTCCACTTTTAGAATATTTTCACTGAAGATAGCCCCTTAACTATTTAATAGGTCTAATTATAAGCCTATATACTTATATGCCTTAAATTTAAGTATATTAGCTAGGATTCTAAATAAAGCCGCTAATAATTATTTAAGGTAGGTATTACCTTCTTTATAATATCAGTAAAATGCAGCTAGAATTCTAAGCTACTAGGTTTAATATAGCGGAAAGTTTTAATATGCTTTTAATAGTCCTTAGAAGCATTAGGCCCTGGAATAATATTAATATTCACTGACTTAATATCTTAGCAATAGTGTAATAGTTATAATTCCCAAGGGATAAACTAGTCTATACTAGGTTTATATTGGCAGATATATAGGGCATTGTGATACTAAGTGTAGCGAAGTGTTATATCACTTAATAGTAAATAAAGCGGGTAAGGCATATTTAGGTAAAAATATTTTATTAATAGCTATTAAGCTAAGTATACTAACTAATGCTAAGTAAATATATATATACTTAAGGGATCCTTAAGGGATTACTTAGGTCTAGGGATTATAGTAATCCTAGATTATAGGTGCTCTTAGAGCGTAGTAATCCCGTGTAAGCGTGATCCACTTGTGGTTAATTTGGTGAACTCAGGAAGCGAGTTCACGATTAAGTGGGTCAAGTTGCATGAAATTTATAGGGTACACGTGACGTAGCCGCTAGGGTCGTAACAAAACTGGCTTCGGAATCGCTTCGTGCTCCACTTCCATTCCGTCTAACGTGTTGAAGTAACCCGGAGGGTTACTCGGTAATTATTCAGCTACTTTCCTAGCTTAGAGCTAACCTAAAGGCGGAATTTCAGTATGACGGCATTAAATATACGGAAGGGCCTGGCCAGTCCTCTTTCAATTGTCCTGCACCTGTCATATCTCACAAAATCATTTTATAAGCCATACAAACAATCTCAAACTCAAATGCTGGCCCCTTTGTAAACATGGAAACGGGACAGATGCCGATTTCAAGTAGCAAATCCCCAGACGGGGGCCTCGAGGCATGGCTTGTGGTCTTGGGCGCGTGGTGTGCCTCATTCTGCTGCTTTGGCTGGGTTAATAGTATGTAAACTGCCTCGTCACGATTCTGGTAGTCCATACATGCACCAGTTCAACTTACAATTAGCAGGCATCGGAGTGTTCCAGGCATACTTTCAGAGCGATTTGTTGAAAAACTACTCTCCAAGCACTATTTCATGGATTCCTTCTCTCCAAATCTTTTTTATCATGGGCCTTGTAAGCTTCCGGCTACTATCTCCCTCGCTCCTATCGATTCACTGATATCCAGAAGGGCCCTGTAGTTGGGAAGCTCTATGATAACTATGGTCCTCGTCGCACCATTCTCGTTGGAACCTTTATGCACGTTTTCGGCCTCATGATGACCTCTCTCAGCAACAGTTACTATCAAGTCCTCTTGGGACAGGGAGTTTGCTCTGCAATAGGCGTTGCCGCTGTCTTCCATCCTGGTAAGTCGCTCTCACCAAGAAGGTCATAACTAACTTCCCCAGCCATAAATTCAGTCCATGGGTGGTTCGACCGTCAAAAGGGAACTGCGTTTGGTATTTTATCCACAGGCTCAAGTATCGGCGGTATCATCTTTCCTATCATGGTCACTCGAATAATTGATAAACAAGGCTTTGGCTGGGCCATGAGAATCTCTGCGTTCATGATTCTTGGTCTCCTACTCATCACGAACCTCACCATCCGGAACCACAATCCACCACAGCCTCAAAAATGGACCAGCGCTCAATTCCTTCGACCTATGCGCGAGCCTGAGTTTATTTTACTCGCTTGTGGATTCTTCTGTCTAACATACGGAGTATTCATCCCAATCAACTATCTTCCAACTCAAGCTCAAAGTGTTGGCGTGAATCCAAAACTCACACAATATCTGGCATCAATCTTAAACGCCGGCAGCCTTTTTGGCCGACTATCTTCGGGCATCTTGGCAGATAAGATCGGTCGATATAATACTTTCATCATCGTCTGTTACCTTACCACAATATGGATCCTAGCACTATGGATCCCCACCAATACACAGCAAGCTATTATAGCCTTTGCCGCTCTCTTTGGCTTTAGTTCTGGAGCTTACATATCACTTATATCGCCTCTCGTCGCGCAGGTGTCATCTTTGCACGAGATTGGTCTTCGTACTGGCTTGATTTACTTAGGGTGTGCGATAGGCGGCTTAACTACGAATCCTATTAGCGGAGCTATAGTTTCTGGGTCTCTTGGTTGGACTGGACCAAAGGTCTTCGCAGGCCTATTCTGCTTTGTTGGAACTACATCCATCTTGATGGCACGGGCTCAATGTACAGGATGGAAGGTAGGAGTGGTATTCTAGGGTAGGTAAAATCCAGTGCCAGGGGGATGGTATCTTACCATTTCATGCGAAATGATCACGGTGCTCTGACCGGCTATTGTTAAACTAGTCAGCTATATTGCTGCTAATACAGCTGTTCAATTTGGCGACTCCCGCAAATCCAGATAAAGATTCCATCGATTGCATGTATAAACACATAGCAGTCAAGACACTGTTTTGGTACCTAAGTTTTTGGCTACTAATTGGCCACTATACTCTACTATAACTCTTTCGATACAGACGGCTTGTGGATGATCAGATATCTGATTGTATCCGTTGAGTGTACAAGTCATCTAAGTTTTGTCTCTCGAAAACTCAATTATGTCATTTGGCTATCGGCGTCCGCTTTAGAATCAAACTTGAAATCATATGCCAAACTGAAAAAAAGTCAGGTAAGCTTCAGTGCCAACTTAGCAGCCAAGATGGGGTTCGCGGAAAATAACTTGGTCCTAGGATTGGCAGCATACCGAATATCCCCAAAGACTAGTGAGTTGTGTGAGGATGCGTAGTGGGACTGGATGTTTCACAAATTACAGTAACAACAGTCATATCGTGGCATTTCATTGAAGTTGCCACAAATTCAACTTATTATGCCCACAGTCGTCCTTTTTGGATCTGGCGAAAGTTTGTTCCGTTCTTCGTTCATACCAGTAAAGCTAGCCTCGAGATCGGTTATGAAGGCAGTACTGTCGATGACGTTAGAGACTCCACCTCTACCACTTGTAACAACCTTAAGAACCAGATGAATGTTTCGTAGAACCGCTGCTGTCTGCTGCCGAACGTCGGTTGTGAGTGTGCTGTCTGGATGCGTTTTTGCCCCTTCGTGGGTTCCGTCGCCGCGTTTGGAAGACATGTCGCATATTTGTATAAACCTCTGTTTCGCAGAGACAGGAATTATCCGAGCGTGTGGGTATCTGGCAGTGCCAACTTGGCACGACCTTGAGCCCTATTTGAATCCAAAAACAAAGCTTCTTCGTTCATTGTTTTCGATGGATACCTGAGATATGGGGTTGAAGTCTGAACAAAGCTAGATGACGTAGATCCGCCTGCTCAAATTTGATAGCGGACAGTGTGGGCTCTTGCCAATTTGTGATAACAGTCCTTGACTGAGCAGTAGGAGCCAGGTTCATAACCGAGATACCTTTGCTCCTACAGCCGAAGCCGGGCCTTATGGGAATTGATCCAGGCACCGCCGGCGGTGTAATTATAATCTGTTGTGTAAGTATAATAGTTACGTGGCGCCTGAAAAGGGGTAACATACTGCAAATTGCCCCACCAATTTAAAGAGCAACAGCTTCTGCAGTATCAATTTGAGTTGCCGCGCCTTCACCCTGCTTCAATGAACTTAATTGAGGTCTCCCGCTGCTTCCCTGACGCCCTTTCTGCTGAAGGCCAATACAACTCACAGGAGGAACTACACACATCAATCAACGGTCGGGGAGCGCCAGGGGGTTATGCCTTTATGATTGTAAGACCTAGGAAGACTCCCAATGGTAGAAGAGTAGTTGTATTTGATTGTGACCGTGGACCAGGGGTCTCTCCTCCCCCCTCAGCCCCAAAGGCCCCGGGGAAACAGCATCGACAAATTGCAACACGTCGCAAAGGAAAGCCTGTGTCAGACTTTATGGAGTTTGAGCCATCGTCCCGGGGTTAGATTTGATCAACGCAATCACGAACAAAGCTAATACGGTGTGGGATCATTACATGACGTCTAATTTAAGCAGTTGATCGACAAGGCATACTCTCAGCAAAGCATATTCGTAACATTTCCCCACTAAACTAAGTTTTACACGTTTGTAAAGTCATGCGTCACGGAATTTCGGATATAGTAGGACAAATGAGGCAAGTCAGAAGGTTGTCAGATGTGCAGTTCCGGTTCCGAAAGTCATATCCTTAGGAACAGTCAAATCGTAGCCCTGTTTTCCAAAATCGTAAGCAGCACTAGTATGCAGGTGCCTCCGCCTGTAGGACATACGTAATTCGGTCATGCGCCAAGAAATAATTGACGGTGAAAGGGGATGATCTGCGCCTGAAAGAACCCTCTATTTCAGCGGTTGAAGTGGTCTGGAAGGACAGAAAGCAAGCAACTTCTCGGCTATCTATTTTCAATTGCATCTAGTGTGTTTAACAATATATATGTGTACTAAAATGGAGAAGTAAGCAGCTGTCGTTAGAAATTCTATGATATGTAGCAGTTCCCTATTGTGACAAAGACATGATCCCAGGTGAGCTGGTCTCCAAGACTTGGCATGCATAGGTTTCCTAACTACTAAAAAGGGACAGTTTAGTTTTCTAGGATGTTGCCTAGTGACAACGTAAGAAAGCGTCGGTGTTGGATACTAAAAATACTCTAAATGTTTGTTTTATTTCGTTTGGGCTACGTATACCCTTGACAGCATAATTGCTTACGACTCGTAGTTTAAGGAACCGGCCATTGGGGGCGAAGAGATAGAGGCGGAGTATTAGCTTCAAGGATTCATAGATATGAGAGATGCCGCTGAGTCATCGGTCTTGAGGCACTATAAGAAGGGGGCATATGTCGGAAGGGGAGGGAAATCAAAAATCGACACAGTCTTTTACTACCACTTAAGCATCTTCTAGATATATTCTGACGTCGCGTCTCTTATATTTAGGTTCTTTTCCATTCTTCACAAGTTTACCAAAGTTTGTCTACTTGAATTCCGGACCGATCTACTCCTTAGAACCAAGTATTCGGATCGCACTGCCAAGATAGCTTGGGCATCGCATCCAGGTAAGTTTCACCTGCTTACGACCACTTGCCCAATTAACATATCTCCGAATAGATCCCAATCATGAGTCCTCCACTCAATCTACTATCTTGGATTCTACTCCTGGGTTATGCCTTGGCCAGTCCACCCTACCAAGCTGTGGCCGACGCAAGTGGGCCAGCAGTCACCATTCGAAACGGCACCTTGACTGGAACCTTTAATACCCACTACAAGCAAGACTTCTTCTTGGGAATCCCATATGCTGCGCCGCCTGTCGGACCACTTCGCCTCCAGAAGCCGTCTGCTGCAGATGGATGGACTGGTAACAAGAAGGCAACTGTATACTCACCACGATGCATGTGGAATTCCCTTAACTTGATTGGTTTCAGTCAGAATACGACTGATCCTATGGACGAAGACTGTTTGTACCTTAATGTTGTCCGACCCTCTGGTACCCAGACAGGCGAGAAGTTGCCTGTCCTTGTGTGGATCCATGGTGGCGGGTATCAAGAGGGTAGTGCTCGTGATGGTAGAAATAACGGAACTTTTCTCGTCGAAACCTCCAGAAAAATGAAGACTCCGATCATATTCGTCACCTTCAACTATCGTCTTGGGGCTTTTGGTATCCTTCCAGGCCGCGAAATCGAAGAGGCTGGTCTGGCGAATCTAAACCTTCAAGATCAGCGACAAGCCCTTAGGTGGATCCAGGAAAACATCGCCGATTTCGGCGGTGACCCGTCTCGTGTTACTATAATGGGGGAGTCAGTTGGAGGCCTCTCAGTTGGGTTTCACCTTTTGGCATATGATGGTAGGGATGATGGGCTTTTTAGTGGTGCGATCGCTCAGAGCGGCGGTCCCCCTTTGACCATCGCAACGACTCGTAATGCTACGGAGAGAGAAGCCGATTTCCGAGAGGTTCTTGAACAAGCAGGATGTTTGAACAGCACACAGCCTCTTGTCTGCCTTCGAGAAGTTCCAGCCGACATTTTGAGGCAGGCTGGCCAGAAATTACCACCTCGTATAACCGTTGATGGCGACATGGTCGGTAACCTGAGCGCGCAGTTACGACAAGGTCGCTTTGTCCGAGTTCCTCTTATGATTGGAACAACAAGGAACGAATGTACCACCTTCGTTCAAGAAGAAGTCAGGGAGCCCATCGATACTGAAGAAGCGCTCAGACAATTCATTGGAACTTCTCTAGGGAAGCAAGGCATTTCCAACAAGTCCATTCAACGCTGGTCTGAGCTTTATCAGGATGAGATTGATAACCCTTCCGAGGGCGGTTTGGGTACGGTACTTCCCAACCCAGGCTCTCAGTATGGTTCTCAGTATGGCAAAGCAACTCTATGGCTGGGAGACATGATGTTTGCCACCAACCGTCGCCTTTCGAACCGAGCATGGGCAAATTATCGGGTTCCGAGTTACAGCTTTCTTTTTGATACGGTAACTGCTCCCATGGATCCAGAAACACTAGGAGCTGCTCACTTTCAGGAAATGCCTTATGTGTTTGGTAACACTCAGGGGGTTGGCTACGATCAGGACCCTTTCCCATCTAACACAGCTGAACGACAGAAGCATTATAAGCTTGCAGAGATTATGAGCCGAATGTGGATCAGCTTCGTAACCACCCAGTCACCGAACTCTCACCAGAGTACGTATTTGCCCATTTTTTAACAAAGGTTTCATATTCAAGATGTATTGACGCCCACAGTAGTCCCTGACTTTAACATTAATTGGCCAGAATATTCGAAGGATAAGCCTCAGAACATGGTATTCAGCGTTTCTCAGGGAACCCACTTACAATTTGATACATGGCGAGTCGAGGCTATAGACAAGATAGCCGAGACTTATGGCGCCCTGTGAGATAGGAGGCGTTTAAACTCCTAGATGCGAAACATCACTCATCTTTTATCTAGTGAAAGGGGGTTTCTCGCTCTTTCTACATGAGTATGGAATATGTCGGATCATGCGGTATAAAACTGGGTGCGTTTCCTGAGTTTAGTAGCTTAAGTAGTAGAACCTCCGTACCACAAGCTGAATTCATCAAGGATTTTACACCCTACTATTTAGTTCGTCTCTACTTATGACCGTTGATTAAATTGTCCCTGTTCAGAACTGGCAAAAAGAAAACCAAGCTTGCCCTAGAACTAGTCTAATACACTGTAACTTGGACTCACTAAGACAGATTCCTCAGGTTACAAGCAAACAGTGGCATTTGCTTTTTCTGAGATAATCCTCATAGTATGATGACTTGCACAAACCATCTTGTAGATGGACCCCTGGTTTTCCTTTCAGTGTCTACCATGAACTTTGACTCTGATGACATTTGAGTCTAGCTTGGGTGTCGACAAAGTAATCGTACAAGAATGTTACGTCGCTGTCGTCTGTTTTGTAGAGATATATGTCCCAAAGGGCTGCCACTGCAAGGTCCATACACAGCTCTGCCTTTGCCAGATTAATGTCCAAGCACCGTCTCAAACTCTTGTTAAATGACAAGAAGTACTTGCGGCGCGCGGAACCCACTTCGCCGAGCCATCTTTCCGGCCTAAAGGTCCACGGGTCAGGGAAGATATCTTCATCTGTTTGTTGTATCAAGGTCTGCACACTCGTTGGTGTACCCTCTGGGGTATCATGTGTTATACTATAGGTAAAAGTAGTAGACTGTTCGAATCCATCATCGCGTGTCATCCTACGAGCCCAAAATCGAGCCGAAAGGCCTCCATCTGCACGGCGTCCAGATACGGCAGCCGATCCAGTTCTTCCAGGGTTCCTAATGGGTTTTCTTCGGGCTCTTTTCTCAAGCGCGTCATGATGGAAGGGTTCGCGAGGATGTAGTAGTGAGCGATTGGCAAAGAAGTAGCTAGCGATTGTGTTCCCGCCATGGCTGCTAAAGCAACTTCATCAGCGAGCCGTTCCATACTCTTCTCAGAAACGGGTAACCTTTTATCGGCGTGAAGAAACTGAATCATTGAAGGAAGCTGTCCGTCGTGCTCTTTCGTCGTATGCTTGTCGATGACTATACGGATCTATCGCCGGATCTTGTGACGAAACTGAACCATATCTTTTACTCCTGGAGGTGCATACTCAATCGGAAACCAACTCAATATGTTCTGCACCCAAGTGAAATGTTTACCGAAGTTGATCTGCTGCAAAAGTGCTGAGAGGATGTTTTGCAATGTTCCCCCTCAACCTGGATCGCCCAGTAAGTTGTCGTTACTTCCAAAGCTGTATTGACAGACTACACTATTACAAGACTCAGAAGATCATTCAATAACGATGGCAAGCTTCAATGGAATTACTCACCATAACGCTCATGTAGCTCTTTAATTTTGAAAACGTATTGCCCTGGCAGGAAAACGTCGTAGTAACACTCGTACCAGGCGGTGATGGCCAGGGCTGCGGTCAGATCAATCAAATTGGATTAGGCCGTAAATCTGAGCTAAACTGATAACTTGCCCTCTACATCTGATCTAATTTATTGATTGACAGATATATGATATGGATTAGGTTGTGTGAAGCTATCCTCAGCCTTAGGATCCTGCCCTTGGGTTCTGACTGGCCTTATTGCCCAAACAAAGGCCCCCTAGATTAACACACCGTCCCCTAATCCGGTTCTTCAGTAGTTGGACCGACTCAATGCGCGATCCAAGCAGATAATGTCACTGTGAGCTGGATATAAGCTTTGCAAGACTAAATGCTCTCTCACAGTCGGTGGCCATAGTCGGAAAAGCAAGGACATCCAATGTAAATCTACTCAAATGTGGAAAAGTATTGCTACGATCAATCCACCAACGGACCTGGTCATTCACCTGCTCCGGCTTGAGCCTGTAGTACCGTTTATAATTTAATCTTCTTACTTTTATAGTTTAATATAACTTAGTACTAAAGGAAGTTTAAAGTATATATCTTATTAAAGGCTTTAATTTTTATTTTTTTTAAGAAACTTATTAATTAATATAATAAGTTAGTTAAAATAAGTTAGATAAGTTTAAGAAACTAGTAGTATATTCTTATTTAGGATTAAAGGAAAGAAAAAGGTAAAAAGAAAAAGAATTAAAATAAATTAATTAGTACTTTTATAATACTTTTTAAATAATATAGTATTATATTATATATCTAGGAGTTACTAGGTTACTTTTTAGCCTTTTTAAAACTAATCTATAGTATCTTTTATATTAACTATACTCCCTTAAGTACTTATAAGCTTCTTAAGATAATATTTAACTAAGAATAAAACTATAAGCTCTTATACTTCTTCTTAGTGTAATAGTTGTGATTCCTAAGGGATAAACTAGTCTATACTAGGTTTATATTAGCAGATATATAGGGCATTTTAGTATTAAGCATAGTGAAGTATTATATCTCTTAATAGTAAATAAGGCAGGTAAGGCATATTTAGGTAAAGATATTTTATTAATAGCTATTAAGCTAAGTATATTAACTAATACTAAGTAAATATATATATACTTAAGAGATCCTTAAGGGATTACTTAGGCCTAGGGATTATAGTAATCCTAGATTATAGGTACTCTTAGAGTATAGTAATCCTATATAAGTATAATCTACTTATAATTAGTTTAGTAAACTCAGGAAGCGAGTTTATAATTAAGTAGGTTAAGTTATATAAAATTTATAGGATATATATGATATAACCGCTAGGGTTATAACACTTAGTCTTTATTATTATTAATATTATAACTATTAAAGTAAATATTAAACTTAATTTCCTAGGATATTTTAATAATAAAAAACTATTATATTAGAGCCTACTATATAATAAATTTAATAAATTTACTATATAAGGAATTAAAGTCTAATATAAAGGATAATATTAAGATTATCTCTATATACCTTAGATATAATAAGATCTTATAGGTATCCTATAAATACTACTAGTATAAGGTATACCTTAAAGCTAAAAAAGATAATAATTATTTTTCTATTATAATCCTAAGAATACTAAATAATAAACCCTATATAATAGAAAAAACAATAGAGTATTTAATATATATATAGTATAAAAACCTTAGAGTAGTAGAATTATAATTTAACTTACTTAACTATTAATTAGAGTTAAAGTAAAAAGAAATACTAAAAGAAATTAAATATAATCTATAGATAATTAATAGATAAGATAAGGAGTTTAAAGAACTTACTAAAGGAAAATATAAATACTTAATAAAAGTAAGTAATAAAATAGCTAATAAATTAAGAGATATAAGAAAGAGAAGCTATATAGAAAAGTTAAATAAACTTTATTTAGCTAATAACTATAGAGATTACTATAAAAATAAAGAATTTAATAAGGAATACTAAGAGTTCTTAAAACTTACTAATTATTATAGCGCAAGACTAGACTTACTTACCCTATAGCCATAAGTAAATTAAGTCACATAGTAATAAGTATTATTACTGTAACCTTAACTAGACTACTAGTTAAATCCTAAATATAGCTCCTTAAGCTATATCTTATTAATAGAGCCTAACCTGCCTGCAGTGCCTATTTATAGTAATAGAACCTATTCCGCTTAAAGCATTCCCTGTCTATTTATATTACTAAGCCTAACCTGTAATACTAATAAAGAAAAATTAATAAAATTAAAAATTAATAATAAATAATTTAATAACTACTAGCTAGATATAGTATATAGTAATAATAAATATAAACTATAATAAGTTATATAATTAGAAAAAGATAATTATTATTTATAATAGAGCTATAAATAAGTAAAGTATAAAACTAAAAATAACTTAGAATAATAAGTACTTTAAGAGCTATATAAGATAGTAAGCCTAACTACTTAATACTATAAGTTTAAATTAAGGGGAAATAGCTAGATATATAAATTAATAATAGAGTTAAATAGAACTTTACTAACCTAGAAATAGTTATAAAGTTAGTATTACTATAGAAGAAGAAATAATTACTTTATTAACTTATTAATATAGAAGGATAGCTTTTTAATTATAATAATAGAATTATAGACTAAGAGATTAATTACCCTAAGCTTTATATTTAAGGAAAAGTCTAAGAAGAAAGTTTTAATATTATTCTACTAGGATAGAAAATATATATTTTACTAGGAATACTATAGCTTAAATAAATAAATCTATATATTAACTAGATAATAGGCTAAATTATACTTTAATATAATTTAAATAGTTATATAAAAATAGTTATAAGGAATAATAAGAGATGTTTAAGCTTAACTAAAAAGAATAATATAGATAAATATAAAGTATAGAATTTATTAACTTTAGAAAAAGTATAATATAACTATATAATAGGTAAGAAATAATAAATCTTAGGGATATTTATAAGGTATATTTAAAGAAAATAAAAAGAAATAAAAAATACTTAGGATTAAATATAAAGTATTTTAAAAGAATATTAAATATATAATAAACTATTTTAATTAAAATTAAATATAAAGATACCTAAGTATAGCTACTAGGATTATAAAATTATCTTTACTAATAAAAGTCTATTAATAAGAAAGATCTATTTACTTAATAAATAAGAATTAATAAAGTTAAAAAACTATATATAGAAAGGATTATAAAAAGGATATATTAAATCCTTAGTATTACTAGTAAAAGTACGAATAATACTTATACCTAAGAATAATAGAAAATTATAATTAGTAATTAATTATAGAGATTTAAATACTTATATAGTTAAAGATTATATATTACTTTTATTAATTTTAAAACTAAGAGATTAACTATAAGGGAAATAAATCTTTATTACCTTAAATCTTAAAGGAGTATATAATCTTATATAAAATAAGAAAGAAAGTAAGTAAAAAATAGTATTTTAAACTAAGTTTAAACTCTTTAAATATTTACTAATATTATTTAAGCTTATAAATACCTTAGTTTTATTTTAAAAAGTAATTACCTATATACTTTAATAATTTTTTAATAACTTTATAGTATATTACTTAAATAGTATTTAAATCTTATTAAATAATAAAATAAAGTATAAGAAATATATTTCTATAGTTTTATAAGTACTATAAAATACTAAGCTATTAGTTAAACTAAAGAAATATTACTTTTATATTATTAAAGTGAACTTTTTAATATATATTATTATACTTAAAGAATTTAAAATAATATAAGATAAGACTTCTATAATTAATAAATAGAAGATACTATATAATATTAAGGAAATATAAGCCTTTTTAAGATTAGTAAATTACTATTAATAGTTTATTAAGAACTTTAGTAAGATTATAAATCTTTTAATAGAGTTTATAAAGAAGAATTAAGTTTTAAACTAGAATAATAAGTTATAATAAGCTTTTAAATAACTTAAATAAGCTATTCTTAGTAAACTAGTATTAGTAATATTTAACCTTAATAAGGAAATTAAATTTAAAACTAATATATTAAACTTTATACTAAGAGGATAACTTAAATAAAGAAATAATAATAGAAAATTATAATCTATTATATTTTACTTATATAAGTTATATAAAGTAAAACTTAACTACCTTATATATAATAAGGAGTTTTTAATAATTTATAATTACTTTAAAGAATTTAAGTAATACCTTATAAAATATAAATATTAAATTAAAGTTTATATTAATTATAAGAATATTATTTACTTTACTACTATATAAGAACTTAATAAATAATAAATAAAATATATAGAATACCTATATAAGTTTAACTTTATTATTATTTATTAAAAAGGATTAAATAATAAAAAAGCTAATATAATTAATTAAGGATTAGACTTTAATATAGAGATTACTAAGGCTAATAAATAACTTTTAAAGTAAAATAATAATAGAAACTATAAGTTTACCTAATAAGCCTAAACTTTAAGCTTAATTATTAGATAAAAAGGTATTATAATAAATTAAAATAGGAGATAAACCTAGAATAATATAATAAAATATAAGCTATAAAATACTAATAATTAAGATACTAGACCTTATTAATATAAAAATAAGATATAAGTATTAAAAGCATTATAAGAAAAGTTAATATTGGAAATATATAAGTATTCCTTATATAGTTACTAAGGTATTATAAAGATATAAAAATATATTATAGAATAATTTAAATAGAAAGGAAGTTATAAAACTATAAAATAAATTTTCACTAAGTACTATTTAAGTAATATTAATAAGAAGCTATAGTAAATAGGAATAACTATATAATAGTCTAGCGCTTAAGTAAATAGGGATATAAAGGAGGGATAGTAATTAGCAGATAAATTTAATTAATATATCTGCAATATATAACAGGAGTTTAATATTAAGGTATAAGGTATCTTACTCTTAAAGCAGCACTAGTTATACTAGTAAATAATAAATAGAAAACAGCCCTAAGACTTAGTAAAAGTAATATAAGAAAAGCTATAATAGTATATTATATAGTATTATTATATAGTTTATATATATATTTCCTTAAAGCTATTAAATATTTATAGTCCTTATTTATTATATAAGGAATAGTATAGTTTCCTTTATTTATTCTTAATTACTTTATCTTAATTATAAAGGCTTCTTATAGTAATATAAGTAGCTTTATCTCTATATCCTATACTTTATAAGTTTTACTATTATTTAACTTAGCTTTAATATATTATATCTTATTTTACTAGTATATAAGCTTTTATTTACTATAGTTTTATTTATATTAGGATATTATTAATTACTTACTATATTAATATTAATTATTATAATATTAACTATAGTAGTTAAATAAAAGTACTTAGTAGTAGTCTTAATATTATTAGTTTATAACCTATTAATACTTCCTTATAGGTAATAATTATTTATTCTTTCTTATTAAGTTTATCTTTATTTAAATTATAGTATTTATTATAAATAGTTATTAACTTAGTTTTTAAGGGTATATATATTATTCCTAGTATTTATAGTTTTTTAAGTTTCTTTTTATATTATTCTTACTTTTATTATTTATTTATAGCTTAAATTATAGTACTTTCTTAAGAGGTATTTTATACTTATATTAGTATAATTAGCTTTTTTCTTTCCTTACTTTATTAATCTAAGTATTTACTTTCTCTTTATAGTATTTCTATATTTCCTTAAGGCTTTTAAAATAATTACTAGATTATTAGTAAAAACTATCTTAGTATACTAGCTATACTATTTATAGTTATAGTTCTATTAATATAGTCTTTTAAGCTATATTATATCCTTATTAATATATTCTTAAGGTTTAAGTATATTATACTATTTATAGGTTTACTTTATTAGTTATTCTTAGGGCTTAAAGCTTACTATAGTTTAAATCTTATAGTTTATAAGGTTATAGGTAATTATAGTTATAATATTTATATTTTAATAGATCTTATTTTAAAAGTCTTCTTTTTAATATAGCTTCTAGTACTATTAGTCCTATATATACTCTATATAAGATATTCCCTTATTAATTTCCTTATTAATATCCTTAATTATAAAAGTTACCTTAGTTATTATTTTATTACTAGTTAAAGTTGTAAGAGTTAAAGTTACTTTCTTTACCTATTTTAACTACTCTCTTTTTTTTATATTTATACTATTATTTATTAATTTTAATTACTATTATAATATACTCTATAATATCTAGCTTGCTTATCTACCCATACCTGTGGTAACATGAACTAGTTGCACCTCCTGCTATAAGAATCTATAATAGCTCTAATCTTATAAACCCTCTATATTCTTCTAATAAGCCTATTAAGTCTTTAGTTTATTATATTGCAAAGCAAGTATAAAGGTACTTATAAAATACCTTCTATAGCATAATAGATTTAAATTCATTAATACAGAGAGTTAAATAAGGGCTATTATAGGTAAATATTAATACTCTAGTGATTTCTCTAAATGCTTATGCATTATAGAATAGATATACTGCGGCATTAGATATATAAGACTATTAATTTTATCTCTAGGTATTTAAACCTAGGTTCTGCTTATAAACTTTAAGATATCTATGCAATTATACCTATCTGCAGTAATAATAACTATAAGTATATTGCAAATAGGGAAGGTTCTAGATATATTTTAATTCTAATAATAAATAATTAAATAAATAATTTTCAGGGCAGTAGTATTATTATTAGGCGGTAATAACTGAAATAATCTATACTAATTATATATATTATAACCTTCTTTTTAATCTAGCCCTAGTATAATAGAGAAGGGTTTTAAGGCGACTATTAAGAGCGTAGAATAGATATAGAGTTTTATCTCTTCTGGACTAACTATTAGAATAAGATTGCTATCTAGAATGATTTTAATAACTATATTTAGCTTAGTATCTATTATATTCTCTATACTAATATCTAATATCTTATTATTACTATAAGAGGGAGCTATCTATAAATAAAGCTATATATTAACTGTCTTACTTCTTTAAGTGAAAAGGACCCCTGAGTAGGAAAGTCTACACCGGGGCTCCTTATCTTAACCTTCCAGCTCCCCATTCTTGCCTCTTTGTCCGGTCAGATCACCATCGACGCCTCATAGTCGAGTTTGTTGTCTCGCTGTTATGTATTTCTTATTACCCCGCTTCGCTCAGCGCTTAATCATCAACGGAATAGATATCTTCCGAGCCTTATACAGCATAAGTCAGTGATGACTGCAGCAGCGGTCTGGAGAACTATGACCTGTTGGTTATTATCGGTGAAGGGTAAGAATATGCAGCCGTTTCCCTTTTCGATTATATTAACAGGGCTATGCAGCTAACGGTTATATTCTAATATAATACTACAGTATATCTATTCTTTTATTAATAAGAAAGGAAAGGGATAATATAGAAAGTATATTTAACCTATATAAGGAATTATAATTATATAGGCTAGTATTAATTATTTTTATAAATATAATAGAATTTATTTTCTTATTATTAGAACTTTAAATATATACTATTATGCCTTACTTTTTATCTCTTTTATATATTATTTTCTCCTAAAGTAATATATTTCCGCTTATTTAATAAGTCTAATATACTGCTTAAAATATCAGTTAATCCTTCTGCATTTAAGCTAATAATAACTTGCAGATAAAAGGCCTTATTATAGCTATCGCTTACTCTAAATCACTAGCTGCTCTAACTAGAGAGCCTCCTAATTATCTTATTCTTATTACATTATCGGTATACTCTGCCCTCTGAGCTTGGTTCATGGCCTTCCTGAAGTCAGGCAGTGATTTCTTAATAATAGAGGAAGCAGAACCTACCTAAACCTAATAAGCCCCTTGGTTCTAAGCATAAATTAGGATAATAATTTTTTTGGAATAGGCAAGGCGTGGTATAAAATACTCTGTCTTCTTGTTTTCGTAATTCATCTCCATCTAGCTGTCTTAATGTCAATATTCTTCGTTGGGGTTAATAATAATCCCTGCAAGCGATAAACTCTACAAACATCGGTTGGGTAAACGGCAAAAAGAATACAGGAATAGGCACCAGATTGAGAGATATGAGACCAGGACTCCGTGTTGTGGTCTACAAGTTCTAAGTGCTGATGCCGCGAACCCTGTGCAGCTTAGCGTATGTGATTGGCCCAAAACCCAGGACGGACCCCGTTTCTGTCGTGAATACTTGAGTAGGCTTTCAAGGTGTAGATGAACTGGGGAGAAAAGAGTGGCTGGCATTCGTATCTTGCATCGGTAATTCATGCTTCAACAGTAGCCATACACTACTGTACACGTAACGTTCAATTACCATTTCATGACGTAAGCGTTATGTGCGTGCAATAACTAACTAAGCCCTGTTGCATAAACACCCCGCTTTGGCCCTGGTCGCGAGCGGCAGAATCGTCGGTTCTCGTTTCTTTTTCCAAATCCCATATACCAGACTTCAGTCTTTGTCCCGTCGAAGATTCAGCCCCGTACGCAATGATAAAGAAACAATGTCCCTAGATATTTTGCAATACCAGCTGCAAAACTTGAGCGTCTTCGATCCTGAATGTCTGCCATTTCGCCCGACAGGAGACTCCGAACGAGGACATAAGGCATTTGATGCCGTGCCTCGGTACCTGTTTCGCGTTTTCACTCCAAAATCTCAGGGTAAAACCAACGAATCCTGGACGAAGTCTATGGATGCCAGATATGAGGTTGCAGACAGTAAGGTAGATATTTTTGCCAGACCAAATAAGCAACGAACAGCAGAGATGCTATACAGACATCTCCGGTGGTTGGAAGGCCCTGAGGATAACCTCGTGTCATGGACGAGCTCATTGTTATTTGCATTGGCATACATCTTCCACCTCCATGCCAACAAAAGAGATGGGTCCAGCTACGACAATATACAACTCTGTGTAATCGACACGTCAAGCTTTCCCGAAGCTGTCTTTCTTCGAGATATGGACCTTATCCGAGCTTATCGTTCGTTTGACAGTCGTCTATGGAATTTCGAAACCTTACGCTGCAAAAGAAGGAACGGCTTCTCTGGGTATTATTACTTTGGAGAGTACCTATCACAAGGAGCCCTAAAAATTGAAGGCAAATGACAAATTGTGTCAGCTCGGGATATAATTCGTTGACGTTTATACGACATACGGCCCGAATTTACAGAAGTCGAGAATTGGGAGCCGCAGCTGTATCCGCCTTGGGCAAATGCAGTCATTGAACTGCGTGAGACAGCTTATTTTGCTAAGACAAAGCAAAAAGAAATCTGCAGCAGAGTATTAAAAGCGGCACTTGATATTTCGAGACTGTTTGAATCACGTTGGAGACTGCCCATAGCAGCAAGTTTCATTGCGCTAGCCCCTCTTCGTACGGACAGTAAAGAAATGTTGGTGGAATTCCGATCTGGTGGTGTTACAGGTACGCAACAACCCCACTGAAGCATTTCCATCCTAACGACAACAGACGATAACCGAGAAAACTGTTCTCCGCTGAGGACGAAAATAGTTGCCAACGACACCTTACCAGAAGTACGAGAATATCATGTCATCATGCAGGGCATTTATAAGGATTATTGTCTCGGGAAACTTAAAGGCACGCCATTACTACTTCGAAATTTCGCATCCAACAAAAGCAAGCGCTAACATGATCTCTTTTACAGAATTCCTTGGCGAGGCTGAAAGCCTGCTGCGCCGGACTATCATATTCAAGTTGAACGAAAACCTAGATAAAGAAGATCCACCATGGGCGGAACAAGTTCCTACCTTGATCGACGTAAGCTATAATGCTATACTATCGAAACTGCGTACGATTAGCTTTCTGAGCAACTCCCTACATCAAGCTTTGGAACACAGAAAGGAAAAGTGAGCATGGAATGTCTACAAGGTCGGAACCTTTAGTTTGAACATCCACCGCGGCTTTGGCTTGAGATGTGGGGTATTTTCGGGGCCTACCTTGACACCATGGCTATTGCCCTCATAAGTATTGGTATGCATCCAGTTGTCTCATCCCAACCAGGCCAGATACTAATAATAGCATTGTGGCTGTTTATGGCTTATTACATGCATAGTCCAGGTTTCACCGCTTTCTAGAGATTTGTCCAACAAGTTTCAATTATCGGCTGGTTGTAACGGTTGCACATAACCGTTAGGCCACAAGGCAAAAGATCGGGCTATAATCGCTATGTGAATGATTACAGTGGTGCTTACAGCTGCCTATAAAGCCTTATAGCGCTATTACGGTAACCAATCGTAACACTGGCGAAGACTGTGCCTGATAAGAACAGTTGTGCGATAGACTATGGGTAGATTATGTTTACATATTTTTTGATGCTTGTCCCTTTATTTTGTTGATGACAATACGACTTGCTGGACAACGTTCGTGGCCGGCGCAGTCTCAAACATTAGGAAGGCTATTTATTCTATTTGTGTGAGTGATCACCTAGATCGATGCAGCTCAATAGCAGAGGTTTTTGGTTTCAGACAGCCGTCTGGCGAAAGAGTGCACTATGTAGCAGTATCTAGTTATAAAAACCTGCGAAACCTTGCCGGCCTCTTTCGTTTTGCAGGATTACATAACGTGATATGCTAGCTTAAATGTGAGATAGGGCCCGAAATAAATAAGGTGTAGGATGCAGTGCGTCGATCAAACCTCGTCCAGCATATCGCAAATCACGCCAAATGTCGGGCAACTGTCACAAGAACCTCGTGCGTGGTGTCGATTGACCTTTCATGTTGTCCCCTTTCTCTTCTCCCGTGGAAAGTGCAATTAGATTGTGCCCAACATAGTTGCACTTGCTTATTGTTTAGGTGAATTGGAAATGGACGGAAAAGAAATTTGTCGCAGGTGGCGACTACGAAAGTGACAAGGGGTGTTACTCGAGCCTCAGACTACAGGAAGCTATACACTCTCACCCTCCGAAGCTTTTATATATGTTGAAATCAACATTAGTCGAATACGTCCCTAACCAGGATTATTGATCCAGGCTTAGTGGAATTCCGTGATAAATTCCGTTTATAATACAGCCAAGTTGTTATTTATAGATAGGACCTAAAGTAAAATGGAAAAAGTAACGGGAAGGTAAGGGGTCTGAAATATAAAGCAAGGCCCAGTTATATTGCGAATACTATGGTATACAGATTGTTGCTATTTCTAAGGCTAAGTTAGGTCCATACTACCTAGTGGTCAAGATGATTAAGAAAAAATATAGGGACTGAATCTCTCTTGGATACACTGCAATTGTCACTCAATACGCGTTGCTTCCATGGGCGGGCGGCTACGTCGCAAGTCTATTGGATAACCCAGATCTTCTGTGGCTTCTTGTTACGACATAAGCGGCCACGTCACGTGTACCCCACTTTCTCATTCTCACGCTCCCTACTTCTCTACACAAACACAACCAATCCACGAAGGACCGACACTTACATGGACCGACGGCGCTCCAGGACCGACGACGATTCAACTCGTTGTCGCTCCCTTCATGAACCCCCGAATATATATACATTCACTTAGCATTAGTTAGTACACTTAGCTCGACAGCTATCAATAAGACTTCTTTACCTGAATACGCCTAACCCGCCTTATTCACTATTAAGAGACGTGACACTTCGCTTTGCTCAGTACTACGCCCTACGACTCTGCCAACATAAACTTAGAACGGACTAGTTTATCCCTTGGAAAACCCAACCGTCACACTTCTTAATCTCCTTATTGGCTTACTCCGTTCCAGATAACATGCTTCCAGGTATCATCCTCCAAGCAAGAGGTATTTTTAATAACAAGGCCGTTCTCCACGTCCTTTTCCATCTTCTCCAGGCTCCTTCTCAATCTCGTCGTCTCATCGATTGCCTTCTGGAAAGTCGCAATGCGGTACAATGCAATGGGATATCCGAACCAGGGGATAATATAGAATAAAATTCTTGGCATCGGCATCAATGAGGAGGAACACAGGACTTGCCCAGGTCGATAGCGACATTCGGCCCAGGTATTAGACAGATTTGTAGGCAAGGAAGATATCGCTGATGTACATAGAATATGGCTGAGAAATGCCCTAATGTAAGATATTTGTTAGCAACTCGCCTGATACAAACATGCTCAAGAACTGAAAAGAATGGGAATAATACAACGAAGTGTGGATCAGCGAATTCTTCCAGCGTTGAGATAGTATCTGGACGCTTGCCTCCTGTGCTAACAAAGACAACTCTCGAACGTCTTCAAGTAAAGATCTCTGAGCCATATGGAGTTGAATAGCATAGTGGTCGGGGCAATTCTGTCTCGCTGGATGCTGTTAGTCAGTTCCTCATAGATAGCATACCAAACAAGGGAGACCCTTCTGTGACCCTCTAATGCACACCTTCATTTCCATCTAGCATCTGTAACTCGCTATACCGCTTGAGCTTAGCAAGTATAGAAATTCTCAAATCATCGGCGTTGAGCGCCGGGGGGGCTGAGAAAACCTGCTCGAGGCGGGTTTCAGAATAAAGTGCTCGCTGGTGCTCGGTATGCTCCATACTTCTAGTGCCAAGCGAAATTTGACCCTAAGCAGCAAAAAGGTAAAAGGAGTTAGTCTTTCCTAGTTATCGTTATTCCCGGCAACATTGAAATTGACAGTGAAAAATGACAACGGCCGCTAATGGTCCCCTCTGGCTGCCAAAAGATAAATATCAGAGCAAATATCAAGAAAGAAGAACGTCCAACTAGTCTGATATAATCGGGTATTCAGCTATGCTATTATCTGAAGTACTGGTAACCCAGAAGTAAAATGCACCCGAAGGCCTCAAACCGCCTGCGGAGTCATATTGCAGTGACTAGACAAATTTAATCGTCAGTGACTTCATTCATTCAACAAGATCTATTCTCCAGGACACCCTCATGAAGGATCTTGCAGTTTCAACCCCAGCTTACGTGGCCAATATCTCCCACCGTCCAATCAGCCTTTTGATGGGAGGCCTCAATTCTTGTGAATGTCACAGCTCCTGGATTTTATTTGTGCTATAAAGGTCAAAACTACCCAGCGTAATCTACACAAGCTCCTAAGCTTACTAACCTCGACCATAGCTAAAATGGGACCATTCAATGATAAAGTCAAAAGCTTGGCCAAGCCCACTGCTTTGGACGCCATAGACTGGTTAAATGAACACGAAGACGTTAAAGGCTTCCATTTCAAAATTTGCGAGGCTCGAATTGATGCTGATGGCGAATATCACGATGATTTGGTGTTCTACCTAGCCAAGATCTCACGCCTAGTAGCTCTAGACGAATTCAGCATGGAGACTGAAGATAGCAGTCGCGTTGTAAAGGTATATAAGGCAGACAAATATGATATCCCCATATTACAATTACTTCAGGCAAAGGCTTAACATAGTTTAATAGGTTAGCCTTCGACTTTCCGCAGTTGCGGTTCAACAAAACATGACTTTAGAGGTTGCTATCCGAACTCTCTGCAAGTCCATGATGACTACTGGGACCGAAGGCAAACAACTCTTTGTTGAAAACCTGACACCAAGATCTATCTGGGGCATCATACCACTCTCTGATATCTTTCGAGCCTACTGGACAGCTTCCTTCTTCAACAAGATTCTCTCAGAAGGTCCTCGCGTACTGTCGAGTTTGGCAGAGGACTTTATGAGGGAAAGCCGACCCTATCTCAACCCTACGTAAGCCTTGCCACATCGGTTAAGTTCTTGAAGAGTTCATCCATTCTACACTGCTTCCTTTGAACTGACACAAGCGTTATAGCTTCATGGTTTTCGCATTTGCGGCTTTAGCAGGACTACATGACTGCTTTCACCTTATGCAACATTTCTATAATCTTGACCTGGCAGAGACATTTGACCTACCAAATTTCATCCAGAGCGTCCTCCCGACTGTTGGGGTTGTCTTCACCTTTTTCTCTGTATGGCATCCCTGTTGGCTGATGTAGATTCAGAACCACTAACTTCCTCAAGCAAAGGACGTCAGCAGGCGAGTCTTTAGGTGAGCAGAAGCAAAAGTTCGATTTTTGCATCCAGCGCTTTGTCGAGAGCTATGATGAGGTCCTAAAACAGTTTGGGATAGTTCAATGTCGGTAATTTCATGGATCCTAAAAGAGCTTCCACTAACCAGGTTTTTTAAATCTAATAGCACCTACAGGGCATATGCCACTTCGAGATAGAAGCTGGATGCACTTGGTGTGCAACAGCCTTTGCAAGATGTCAAATGCGGCTTCAAGTGTCCTGGTTTTGAGAAAGGACCTTCTTGATGAGGTAATGAACGCCTCAATCCAAGCGCAGAACAATGCAATCCAGGGTGGAATAGTCGCTCTGGGATTCCCCAAGATATACTGCCACATCCTAGTAAATCCCTTGGGATCTTTGAACCATCTTGGTATTCATGGCGCCCAGAAGACCTTGATATGTTCTTTGAAGCGGTACAACAGAGCGACCTGGTTGGCCGCCGGCCTAAGGTCGATGCGATCAATGGTGGATATCTACAGAGAGACCAAATCAACGAAAGTTGGTATCGAGACTTGGACTTCGAGTATGCGATGGCTCTCGTAGCGCCTCACGAAGTCACCAACGTTGAGGTTGGCTCTGAAAAGCAAGTGGGAAATCTCAACGACATGCTCGCAGCCTTTGACAGATACTACTGCGATCCTGTTTACCCAGATCATAAGAAGTATCCCCCCTCCTATCAGCCAGGATGTAATACCACCCATTGTGACTGTGGTTCATCAGCACCGCCGAAGGTATTATCGATATCATGGGGTTGGACAGAAGCTGCATTCACCTCAGATTATCTACAACGCCAGTGCCTTGAGTTCCTAAAATTAGGTCTTATGGGTACAACCGTCATCGTTAGTGTGTCCGACCACGGTACAGCGAGCGAAGGCGGTGCCTTTTGTATTGACGACAAGATGGGCAATGGTACTAGTGGAAGGTTCAGTCCCACGTTTCCAGCATCATGCCCCTGGGTCACAAGTGTTGGAGGAACGCAAATGCTATATTCCAGTGCACCCAGGATACCAATAAAAGATAGGATCGAGAAAGTCTATCGAAAAATTGCATTTGAGACACTAAACTCTTCTGGGGGTGGTTTCAGCAATATCTTTTCTGCTCCTTCCTACCAAGCTCCGCACATTGCCTCATATAATGACATCGAGAAAGATCATTTGGATAAGATTCGAAGTCGTTTTAATAGTACAGGCAGGGGTTTTCCTGATGTTTCAGCTCGAGCTGATTCCTATCTTATTGCGCTTAAAGGGAAGTGGCAGTATGTCTCTGGTACTTCAGCATCAAACCCGGTGTTTGCTTCTATTATCACGTTAACTAACAGCGAACGTATGAATGCTGGTAAAGAACCTGTTGGGTTTATTAACCCAGTACTATATGCTAAGCCAGATATACTTAATGATGTCATGATAGGGTCGAACAAGGGATGCGGTGTTGATGAGGCATTTCAGGCGACAGGTGGTTGGGATGCAGTGACAGGCCTGGGGAGTCCAGATTATGAGCGAATGCGAGATTTTTTTATGAGCCTGCCATGATCCCGCGGAGCAGGCCTGTATAATCAATTATCTTTATCTTCTTGCTCTGTTTCTTAACAGGCTTCCTACCTGCTGCCCTTATTATAATAGTATATATTATATTTCTCTCAACATTAATATGTAAAGGCTATAATATAGTTACTTTAGATATTAACCTCTAAAGGCTTTCTTATCTAATTAGTACTTATAATACTATTAATAGCTTTAATATAGTAGCACTAACTTAAATAATAAATCCTATCAAAAATACTACTATGAGAAAGACTTTTTATCTAAGGTCCAATTAGATATTTTGATTAGACAACCCTTATCAGCTGAAGAATACTAATTTTAGCGCCTACAGTTAGATCTAATAATTAATTATATCTATGATATTTTGTGAGAAGGAAAATCATTTTATTATCATATTATACTTAAATCTTACTAACTTACAAGTTTTTATAAATATTAAATTGCTTATTGTGGTTAAAACAGAGTTCGTCGGTTACCCCAGATTTAGTTCGTCGGTTGCTATGCGACGCAGGGACAGGCTTGTAAGTAGGTAGGCTAGCTGGCTGAGCTTCTATACAGGCGCAACGCAAAGGCAGTATATCAGCAGTAGACACATTATGGCTAGACTAGACTGACAGTTAAAGTGAGATACGTACTATCAGTGTCTTGCGTCTTGCTGGTCTACATCTTCCGTTTGACAGCGGAGAGTTGGTTAGCAAAGCTCACGTGGAGGCGCACGCTAATGATTTCGTAGAAACTCTGCTAACACATGTTGAGAGAGGCTAGACTTAAGCTTATGCTAGAACAAGGCAATCTGGTAACGCCACAATGTCATTGCCTGCTGTTCTATGGATATTATCTACAGCCTTGATCACACCGTTAACTAGCTTCTGTTCCGACGAATGACATTTAGCTGTATACGCCTGTGGCTATGTGACCTATTATTACTCTTGTTAGATCTAACATTCCCAGATTCAGCCCCAACTGGCTTGCATCTCTCAGCCCAGCCAGCGACTAAGCCTCACTTAATCCAAACCATAGCCCTTTCCTACACCAAGGATAGGAATATAAATACATTGATATTCATCCCGATTATCCTAGAAGCTATCATCACAAGTCACAAGCAACCAGCCTCTACTGCATACAGTTCAGTTTTAAATACCAACCACACCTACCTCTATCTACTTAACGGTTATATCCATCACCATGCTCTTGAAGGCCATCCTCGCCACAGCTATTACAGCTACTTCAGCTGTTGCTGCTCCTCTCGAAGCGCGCGACGTAACAACAGTAACAGTAACAGCAACAGAATGCTCAGGATCAACAACCACACCAAAACTATCACCACCATCAGGATCATCTTCCTACTTTTCTCCATCAGACACCTGGCAGTACTCTGTTCATAATGGCGCTATTGCAGCTGCCCCGAACTTTGTCGAGATCTACAAGAGCACTGGCAACGGCGGCAAGGATCAGTCAGCCCTTGTGACTTTCACCTATCCTGTTGCCGCTAAGGGCAGACAGTGTCAGCTGGAGTTCCACCTCCCTGCTGAAGCGAGTCCTGCCGGAAGCAAGAAGATCCAAGTGTTCAGCAGTAACAAGCCGGCTCCAGGTCCTACCAGCAGCTGGGCTCCCGGAAATCAGCGCGGTAACCATGTCGGAACCCTGTCAGTTGTAGCAGGAGGAGCTGCCACTTGGGATTCCGCTCAGAAGCCCTCTCTCGCCTTCAAAACACCTTGCAAGGCACCTGGTACTGTGGAAGCATTTGAGTTTGTAGGAGTCGGTGACTTTAACTTAATTAACTGGAGCCCTTTATCAGGGTATGGACCTCGGATTGTTTATTAATCTAGCACTTAATAATTATTAGTATAGAGACTTAATATTTATTATATTTCTTCTAGTATAAACATATAAAGGATATAATATAGTTAATAAATATTAATTTCTATATGCTTCCTTAGCTACTAAATATTAATAGTACTTATCTATATACCTAATCTTATCTGGAGTCTTATAAAGAAAGACTTTTAATCTATGCTCCTGATTAGGTGCTCTAGACAGGCAACCCCTGTCAGTTCAAGAGCGCCAATTCTAGAGCCTACACTTAAACCTAGCAATTGATTATACTAACAGCATTTAATCAAGAGATTGAGCATTCTATCAGCATCCCGCCATTAAGGTTTTACTAACTTACAAGTTTTTTTATAGATTTGACTGCGTGTTGCAGCTAAAATGGAGTTCGTCGGTTGCCCCATGTCATGCTAGCGCTGTTTCTTTTCCCACCAAAAATAATTCGTCGGTTGCCAAACGACGCGGGGTATATAGCTAGAGGGCCGAGTTTAAGTCCACCTTGAAGTTAGTACGCGAGGTTATCGGGGAGGGGAAGAGACTGACTATACAACTTACTCGGTCGTATGAACGAGTACGCCAATGGCGAGAGAGATGGGGTTGGTCACCACTCAGCTCAGATGCCTACGAGTCCCCTCCGCCGTACTCTCCGCCTCGAGGGCTATCTACCCAATCTCCTCAAGCATCATCACCCCCACGGATAGTCAGATCTTCCCCTCTCCAGCAATCCTCGTCGCCTACCCCAGACCCTATCCCAAATCCACCAATCCCAGGCGATGCAGCACCATCAGCCGAGGTTCTCTTTAACTGGGTGAATACCTTCGCAAAGGATCATGGGTTTGGTATTGTTCGACGGAATGCCTACTCATATAAAGGCCGGAAGATCAGATATTCATTCCAATGCGATCGATTCAGAGAACCTAGGCCTGCTGAAGGCGTAGGGATCCGACAACGTAAATCCAGGAAGTGTGGTTGTAAGTGGATGGTCGTTGCAGAGGCGTTAGAGGAGGGTAAGTGGCTTTTACGACAGCACTCAAACCCCGAACACAGCCAGCACAACCACGGGCGCAGCATCGGAACATCTGCCCATCCCTCCCATAGGAGGCTCACTACGGCTATTAGGGCTACAATTGAATCAACAAGCCGTAGGGTTGGAATCCTGGCTCGCGATGTACGGGCTGTCGTCCGGGAGCAACATCCCGAGTCTGTCTTTACACAGAGGGACATCTATAACGCTAGGTCTCTTATTAACTACGATAAGTTCGATAAATATACATCTACAGCAGCACTTATTAAGCTCTTTGACGAGAGGGAGATTCCCTATCTCGTTAAGTGGGTGGACGACAACCCGGAACGTCTTCTTGGCCTCGTCTAGACCTTCCCCTACTGTCTTCAGATGTGGAAGCGGTTTCCCGAGGTTATCAGCTTTGACAATACATACAACACCAACCGCTTCAAGCTCCCATTGTTCCAGGTAACGGGACAGACTTGCCTAGGGTCGGTCTTCAATACCGCCTTCGGTTTGATCGATAACGAGAGGCGGGAAAGGTTCCAGTTCCTTTCCGAAAGCATTCGGCAATTAGCAGAACAGCACTCGATCTGACAACTAGACATTATCGTCACTAACTTCGACGATTCGATGAAAGCCGCCCTGAACGATCAGTTCTCTGAGGTACAGCAGCAGCTCTGCATCCACCATATCAATTCCAACGCCCTGCTGAGGTCGAAGCAGAAGTGGGTTAAGGACCGCAGCCACGATAGTAGCAGCAGTAGTCTTGATAGCAGCGACGGGGAGGCACCTGCCCCACAGACAGAGGCAGAGCTGAGCCCCAGAGACCGACAGTTCATCCACGCGCCAGCAGCCGAGGCTATCCCTCATAGCTATCGAGGGGTTCTTATAATGTGGAAGCTTGTCCTCTTCGCCGAGACTGAAGAGGCTCACGAGAAGGCGTGGGTAAACCTTTGTCGGGAGTTTGATGATTAGCGGGCTATCCTACGATATCTCCATGGAACCTACACGCCTGTGAAGGCTTAGTGGGCACGCTGTTTCATCCGCAAGTATCGCAACTTCGGCATCCGCGTTACCTCTGGCACAAAAGCACGCAATAACAACGTCAAGAGCTACCTTCTAATGGTATGAGCCACCTCTATCGGCTAGTGGAGGTGATACAGGATATGATAAGGGACCAAGAGCGGGACTTTACCTATGCTAGCGTAGAGGATAAGGTGCTAACTGCCCCTTAGTATCTCGGCTCGAGCTCGGAGTACCTAGGTGAACTGCGAACAAAAGTGGGATGTCTATCTACGGTGGCGGCTATAAGAGTCAGCCTCTAGAGATCCATACCGACGGATCCTCGACCCTAAGATCGCGACTGCTCTTCATGGCAGACCCAAAAATACTATATAAGCTATTCCAGCGCGGCTAACTATTGGGGCGAGCAGCCAGCCTAGTACCTAGACTAATACCCCGCCAGCCATTAAGCTAACTAATTAGGCAATAAGCCATAAACGAGGTCGACCACTAGGGAGTCAGAATAAGTTAATACTTACCAGGCTAATATTAAAAGCGAGCTAATAGGCTAGTAACCAGGCTAATCCCTTATCCTACTGCTAGATATATAGCTAGCTATCTATTCTAGGAATTAAAAGAACTATAGGAGTACGTGCTAGCGAATGAAGGATGTAACCCAGTATTCAGAGGCGAAGGAGTCAATGGGAGCTGCTTAATAACAATAGCGACGAAGAGATCCTTCCTTCTATAGTAGTTAGAGAATAGGTATGTAAATAGCTGCCCTCTAGGGCGTAATAGAACTGATCTTATGCTATATTTAAAACTAGATCTTGTTTTGACGTCCTGCACAGACCTATTCTAGAGGGCTGGATTGATCTGGTTAGTTGGGTGTTGGAAATATTTGCCTGTTAAGGAAGCTGGCTTTACCGCCTTTGCGATGATGTATCTATAGGTCGACGGAAATCTAGCAAATCATATCTCATAAAAGTCATGCCCGTGTAAGAGTCATGCCCGTATATCAATTCCCTAATTATAATAAATAAACTACTTGCCTAATTTTTTATATTAATTGCCTATATAATTATAACCTATTCCCGGTTTCTCGGCTGCACTGAATTTGGCTTCTTATACCTCTCTGCGCCTATAATAATTATACCTATTATAAAGCCGATCTTATGAAGATTGTAAATATTGTCTAATTATGTATTATATATTATAATTATATTTTATATAGGCCTGAACTAATTACTAATTGTAGTCAGATCTTTATACCTAGCCCTTCAATAGTTATATCTCTGCTGAAAACGCGTCTTGAGGTCTAGTTGCTGCTTGATGAAATTAATAGCCCAGCGCTTTCCAACTGGTAATGCGTCGCGATCAGCAAGTAGTCGATGGCATTTCTTTAAGACTATGATACCGGGGAGAAAGTCCTCGCGAATCGAGGTGGAGAACATGCTGAACTATAATCTGTTCCCGTAGATCAGATAGTTTCCGCTCCTTCGGGATAGTATTATTTATAGAGAGTATGCCTTTGCATCGGCGCCGTAGCTTCATAGGGCCAACTTTATATATCTGTCGGAACTTTAATTTAGGGTTATTTTGGAGTGCCTGAAGAGAAAGAAGAACTATTGCCTCTTTATTTAGTTTGGCATACTAGGTGGTTAAGGGTTAATTGATCAGATGGAAAGTGAGGTGTAGGAGGGACCTTTATAATATTCGCTCATCTGTAATGCCCTCTTTTTGTCTACGTTGTATAGAAGTTTCTACATATTTTCTTTAAAAGATTTACTTCTCATTTTATCATTTAGCCAGTCTCCAGTTGTAATCTTGTCAAGTTATATTTCTTAATACCAATCTGATGATGACTAATTAAACACTAATCTTTAGCTCTCTTTGATGAAAGCTCAGGAAACCGTTCATCGTAGACATTGGCTAGGACACCGTCCCTCCAGACGCCCCCAATTGGGAGACAGCGTTGTTGTATATCTGACAGCACCGAGTCAGGATCTCCCTTAAGAAGAACAAAGTCGGCCTTCTTCCCAACTGCAATTTCGCCCCTATCGCTGAATCCAAACCGTTTGGCCACATTAGAGGTGGCCGCCTTGAGCACATCTTCGAGTGTCATTCCAAGCTCATGCTTGAGCAGATACATCTCAATATGCATACCGAGGCCATAGGCCACGCCAAACTCCTGACCGCCAGCATCACTTCCAGCTACCAAAGTAATGCCCGCCTGGTACATCTTTCTGGCTGTTTCGTAGGCATTTTGAACCCTAACTCTAGGTTTCTGTGTTTCCGCTAGTCCTAGAGGCTGGTCTTCAGACTTACGCAACATCATGCGATCAGCCAGAGGATCTTTTCTAAATTCTCGCTGCCACTCCTGCCGCTCAACAGTCTGCGATGCACACAGTACCAAAGTAGGGTTACAATGGATATTGCGTGTTAGCATGATGTCAATGAAGTCATCGCTCGGCGGCTTGTCGAGGAAACAATGGGTAAGGCCGTCGACTCCAGCGTCGAGGAGGTCCTTTGCGCCAGCGTAGCTCAAAGCGTGGCCAACAGCGATGACTCCTGCATTGTGAGCGGCCTCTACCACAGCCTTCTGTATGTCCATCGAGGGTCGCGGAAGGTCGTTCATACCCAGGCTATCCCCCAGCTCATGGAACAACTTGATATACGATGCGCCATGCTTGTTGACTTGTAATTGCACGAAAGGTTCGGCGTCGGCTGGAGATTTCAATAAAGGCCATTTCGAGACTATGTTGTGGACCAGTTGATCACAGTGTGGATGAGACGAGAATCCCTTCTTCATCACAGGAATTGGCCATCCTCCGTCGATAATAGCTCCAATTCCGGAGAACTTATAATCGGCGTATTTATCCTTATTCTGTGAATCACTTGTCGACTGCGTGTTCTGTTAATTTTCCTTCTTTCACGATTAATATCAAAAGGAGACGGAGAAAACCTTTTTGAGTTGTTCGATGTCTTCCACCTCGCTATGCATGTCGCAAACCGTTGTGACGCCGAACCTTAGCGATTGCTCAACACAGTCGTGAATATCACCTGGGATAGGCATGGCGTGGATATGGGCATCAATTAGTCCTGGAATAAGTGTATGTCCTGGACGAGAGAAGCGGGGGAAGTCCTGTTCAGACGGCACATCTCGGTTTGTACAGCCAACTGCGGCGATGAGCCCACGCCGAACAACAATATACCCATCAGCTACAAATTTATAGCCATCGAAAAGGTTGACATCTTCAATGATAAAGCTGTTGTTTTCCTGCATTTTAATAGATTGATAAAGGTACAGTTTATAAGTGAGTCGTAATTGTTAAATAGAACTAGATGCCACGCATGCCGGATTAAATATGTAGTGCTAGGGAAGAAATTCGGAAGTTCCGAATAGGATATATACTCATATAGCACATATACTCCGGAACTCTATCTAATCACATGACCTGAATCTGGCATAAATAAATACTAATGAGTTATATATAATTAGCATATCTAAGTATTATGTATTTTATAAGCTTTTTAAAATAAAATATTAAGTAGTAAGTTCTTAATATTACTTTATGAATAGTACTTTATTTTAGTATTGAATATTTTTAGTTAGTTTTTTATATGCAAATAAACTTATATATTACCTAAAATACTCATTAATAAAAATATATAACTTTAACTTTTATTAATAAATATATGTATTTTATTTTACGGAGAATTTCTTTATGCAATCTATGTAAAGTAAATAACGCAAGACAAAACACTAGTAGATCTGCAGTTCCTATTCCGATATAGTTCCTATTCCGATATAGTTCCTATTCCGATACAGTTCCTATTCCGGGAGTTATGCCTTTAGGAATAGTTACAGCGTAATCAGTTATTTCTAAGTAATATGCAGTAATATGCGCTAGGGGTTAATAAGTAACCCGAAGTCCTGAGCTAAGAAATAAAGTTTCTGCAAAATAAAGGGATTTATATATACGAAAACCTTGCCTTTCCGCATCTGGAGTGACCTATAATGTCAAAAAGCAAGAGCTTGCGCAGCCGTATTACGACCAGGTCATACATACCCCACTTTCTCACTTTTCCACTTTAACATGACTCACTTTTATAATCACTTTACACCAATTATGACAGGACCGAAAGCTTAAATCTTAGTCCCTGAACTCTGGCCAATTAGACAAGGACTGAATAACTTCACATCGGTCTAGGACCGATAACTTTATATCTCGGTCTAAGACTGGTATAATAATAATACCTATTGCCTTATACCCCTAGATTAGTATAAATAGCTATACTCTTTAAGCATTAGATAGAACCTAGCTAACCAGCTATTAATAAAACATCTTTACCTGAATACGCCTTACCTGCTCTATTCACTATTAAGAGACGTAACACTTCGCTACGCTCAGTATCACAACGCCCTACGCATCTGCCAACATAAACCTAGTACGGACTAGTTTATCCCTTGGGAACCACAACCGTCACATATAGCCTTTCATTCCCATAGATGTAAAAAAGTGGCTGGTTTATAGGGGTGGCCAGTCGTGTGGTAACTGACGTTAGGGCAACCTCAGCTAATTAATGACGCTTTGGCGAGCCAGATCTCTTTACCGAATTTTACCCTTATCTAATCAGGAGTGGATACATACTGGCCTGGTTTATTGACGTTTTCTCAACGTGTCCTTGTCCTCTTTTTTTGACCATTGTGGAAATATCAATATCTAATACTTCCATATACCATGGCCCAACCAGTGATCGATGAGGAGGACGATCCTTCCTGGATCTATGATGACGTCTTCCGAATAGCTCGCTTTGAAGGAGATCCTCGATGCAAGCGTAGCGTTATCCACCGACTAGACACAACGTTAACTCTCACACACGGCCACAAACCTAAGAAATGGGGCTTCGCTATTATACGCACCGCTTACGGCCCTGGATCGCACCAGAACTTCGAGCATGCTCTTGAGATTATAAACAATATCGCCCAGCACTGGGTTGAAGACGAAGTCGAGGGTCTCAAGTTCCGAATTACCCAGGGTAAAGAAACGGACTTCCGATATAAGGATGTTCCTGTCGAGGTTGACACGCGCCCAAACGAGGAATTTTTACGCTGCTATGAGAATGACGTTGTGGAGGATCAGAGTCTGGACAACGCCTCTTTCGCTGCGGTGCGCGAATATTTCAAGACCTGGATTGCATCCAAGGGGGGCAGGTCGGACGTTGGGAATACAAGATACGTTGCGTGCATCATGCTCGATGCCGAGACGCTCTCTCAGCTTGCTACTGCGCCTAAAGGCTTTCCTCACGGCTATGATGTTTACAGCTCCTCATATTGGGTCAAGATGGTCGACGTGGAGGCGAGTCCTGACGAGGCGATTCATGTACGTGTGCGTGGAGCTGACGATTTGATAAAATATTGGTTCACGCGGAACATGATACGAAGCCATGTGTTGACACACAGGAAAGATCGCGAATATCCAGGAGTTCTTTACTTTGGCGACCCGCCGTCATTAGGATTTGAGGAAATGGAGTGGCCACCGCTTCCCTAGTTTTAGAGGTCTATCATGCATTTCGCTTTTCCGCAGCCGATGTATGTGTAAAGCAGATATGTTGCCTGTTCTAAGTCTCGTGATATAATCGTGTGGCTAATTCTGTTGACTCTTCTATAGACTCTAATACTCGTCGTGGAAAAAAAGACACAACGTCGAACCAAGCATTCCATCTCTAACCTCATTCACCTGTCTCAGCAGGCCAGACATAACCGTCTGTAATGTAAATTGTTGTAGAAACTGAAGTTCTTTGGGGATAAGGATCCTTCCAGTCATGGTTCGGCCCTACACAGTACGCGTTGCCAGCCACGAGTTTCGCTGAGCATGCCGCTGCGTCGGTGCCCAGTCCGGTATTGACCATGAACAACAAATCGATATCTATACTTGAAACAGCACAAATATGAGCGCACGAGTCTTCCTTGCCTGCAACATACCACCGGCCGCAGCGTTCCGTTGTACCTTGGGGTACCTTCGCACCCGTAGGAGGGGCAATCTTGTCGTAGGTGTATGGGTTGAATGGCTGAGGCGTGGTAGTATCGGTGCTGTCGGATGAGGTATTGTTCTGTTCGAATTCAGGGCCGAAGCATATAATGTTCCCATATGCGGCAGTGAATTCCTGCAGCTTGATGCAATTGTAACCGACCCACGGGTTATAAAGCTGTACATCCCCCTCAAGCAGTTCGTTGGTCGCATTAGATTCAAGTAGATGGCAATCCTCCTCAGTTCGCAGCTGATGAACACGGTCGCACTGTGCAGGCATGCAGAGCTTGGTACCGGGCTCAATCACTGCATCTGCGCTGCAGTTGGGCAGGCGGTATTGATTCACAATGAAGAGAGAAGCTGATGATACGCCGCGCTTGAGTCCAATCGAGTCACAAGTTTCGCCGGTGCTAGTCGTGTACCACTCATCCGTGACACAGTCAAGAGAGTTGTCCTCTAGCTCAGGCGTCAATGAGTTTGGTACTGTCGTGTTGCCTTTAAGGCCGCATTTGGTATAAATATACTGAAGTTGTCTCTCGTAATAGTCGTCGTAGATTGAATACGGAGAAGCTTGCATCATCGCAAGCCGTTTAACGTAGCATGTCTCGCACATCTCTTCTCGCGGCATTTTCGTGTAGTCAGAGACGCTTGTAAACTTGCTGATAACATCTGTGACATACCTTGTTAGTGAGAGGCAAAACGTAGATATATCAGGGATGCCATACCATTGCATTATTGTCCAGAACTATCCTCCAGGCATGTTTCCTTGTAACCTGCCCACATATAACCAGCCCAGAGCATGGGAACAGCGCCACCAAGTGTGTATCCCCGACAGGCCAGCTCCACGGTATTGAACCAGCTACGCAAACTCTCCCCACAGCCTGCATCACATATCAAGTCGGTCTTACTTTTGCTTTCGAGTGACCCTCGATACTTTGGTTGGGTGAAGTCCGACACGTCCCAGTCACACAAGACACGTTGTGTAAGGGCTGTCTGGCAGTTTTCCGGAACATCAAACTCAATAACATCATCGGGCTGGTAGATGAGGAAACCTGGAAACGCTCTTTTCCCTGCTACCTCCTTCGAACCTTGTAGCCATGCAAGAATAGACGACAGAAAGCCATTGACGTTATCGCGAGCATATGTAGGAGTGCTATTTAGAGGAGACACCATTTCAATAATGGCTTTGGTGCATAGGTTATAGACCCAGAGATCATAGCTCTCCTCAACCTCGAATCCTTTCGTCTGGCAGTTTTGTGTTTTGACACAGTCTTGTTTGTAGTTATAGAACCAGCTATACAGACCAGTTCCTAGGATGTAGACGGCAGTAGAATCCAGAATGCGGACCGCCAACGACATGCGGCAGCGGTCGTCCTTGCATTCCTTGAAAGTAGGATCGTTGGCGAAGAGACCAACGCTTGCTTCAAAGAGCTTAGGTGCTTGGGGAGTTGGCTGATAATAAGGTGTCTCAGTCTGTATCATGCCCATGAGAATGTTACTGGCGTTGGAAAGCTGATACTGATAAAAGAAACAGTGCTCTGAAGCTGTACCCCAAAGGTAGGCTAGATCGCTTTCGATCAACATGCCTCGGGCGACATAGACATCGACCTGATCTCTGTTTTTTCTATCAAGGTCATGATCAGCAACCCAGTTCCACGCATTCTCCAGATAAGCGCTTGAGCCAGGTGTAAGGTGGAAAAGTGTCGATGCCGCTTTGCACTTGGGATTGACGGAGCCAAATAACTTGGGGCAGTTGGTGTACTGCAAGTCAGAGCCTGCAGCACCGCCAACGCGGATGTGAGAGTCTAGAGAAGAAGGATAGGGTTAGCAAAAGCTTTGAGCACTGATAGTGTGAACGTACCCCATAGACCCACTGAGCCTTGTGTGGCTTCCCTGGCATTCCATTCGACTACAACCGCTCCAGCTGTAGCTCCATTGACTGTGAACATAATGTCCTGTATCTCAATAATGCCGACGTCACCGCGTCTTCCAACTTGCACGACTGCCCTTGGCTTGAGCTCGTTTTGGAAGTTAGAGCCTTTTCCCATAATCTGTGACCACGCCTGACCAATGATGCGTGATCCGATTGGGACTCGAAGAGTATCTGTAACGATGTAGACGCCGTATGGGAAATACACAATAGATGAGGTATTTGCTGCTCCAGAGAGAATTGAGTTCAGCACAATGGTATCGTCTGTGACACCGTCGCCTTTAGCCCCAAGTGCTTGACGTTCATAACATTACTCTTGGGTTCATCATAGTACTTGGGTCGACGTCGCGAAAAAAGGTTCGGTTGTAGCTTATCGTACTGAGATCCTAGAAGCGACTTGGAACGGTTCATAGCAGGAATGTTATCTCCGTTGACAAAGAAGCCAGTGTCTGAAGTAGCATTTTTGATCTGACCGAAGCCCCAGCTCTTAAGGACGACTTCATTACCTCCCGCGACGAGCACCTTATTCTTGGTCGCATCGGTAACGGACTGCTTGACGTTGAAGAAGCCAACGTTTTGTAATAGAAACGATGTCGAGTTTTCGCCGACTAGCGAGCTGACGATACCCTTGGGGGTATTGGCGATAATGGAATCCACCAAGATGAGCGATCCAACACTCTGACCACTCGATTCCAGTCCACCGGCCTGGCAGAACAAAGGGTTAGCAACAGAGCCAAGGGCTATTTGGGATAGGATTGAAGATACTAACGCCACCCACGACAACCAAACCGCTCCCGCAGCTCTCAATAACGTAGTCGTGCATAGTCCATGCCCAGTCCCAGTGCACCTGAACAGCTGTGTTACAATTGACAAATACCAAATGGCTTGTAGTGAACTGCTGCTTTCCGAAATAGGCACTGTTTCCATTAGACATCTGGCCACCACGAATACTGTTGTCATAGACTCGCCGCATCGATGAAGCTCACTTACCCAAAATTACCTCCGACGAAGGTCAAATCCGCCATAAAGCCGCCGGACCCATTTTCCATGTATATGCCCTAGACAAAGCAAAAAAAGGTAAGTCAATCTGGATTTGGCGTTGTCCACCCATATTAAATAGAGAACCTACCTGCTGAGTATTACTCGGAACCTCAGAGTTGTATAACATATAGAACTCGATGTTCTCTAGAGATGTTGCCTGAGCAACCTGCCAGTGAATAGCACAGACGTATGCAGTCGGATTCGTAAGGCGAATATCCATCTTGAAGTTCCGAATGCTGCGCAGAAAGTTGGCGGTGTTGAGATACCTAAGAAATTGAATTTAGTACTTGCACAAAACTGGATTGTCTTGGGAATTGATATCGGTGTAAATAAAACATATACTCACCATTGTTGATCGTCAGTGATATAGACGTCACTTGTGATGACACCCAACCCGACAAAACTGGATGCCGCGAGGATAGTTGGCACACTATGAGGTTTAAAGAAAGAACATGTCAGCAGTCATGCAGTCATCGAACTTGTGCTCTTGACTCACATCTCCTAAGAATTGGGTGTTGTAGTACTGAATGATTGGAGAGCTGACAAGATATGTGCCTGGTGGAAATTATATGACAGCAGGGACCTTTGTGCTGGCACCGCATTCCGGACCACATCTCTGGCCATCTGATATGGCTCGATTGATGGCAGCAGTGTCGTCAGTCTTGCCATCACCCTTTGTGCCGAAATCCTTTACATTTCTCCGCACCTACGTTCTCGTTAGCTGAATGATTGAGCCTTGAACTTCTTGTCATGAAACGGTACACTTGCCTTGTATCCTTTTGGGGCATATGGAGCGAGTCCCAATTGTGGCATATCGACCGTCCAGTATCCCGCTGCCCTCTCCATGACTTTTTGTTTGGAATCAGGACCAAACTCACCCAAACGGCCGTCAGGGCGATCCAGTGGATCTGGAGAATTGGTATCGTTGTTTTTGTGATCATACTTTGCTTTAATCCTCGCAGCGACTTGAGCATGGTCTCCTGATGGCTTCTGGGGCTTAGACTCGGCGAGAGTACGGGCCGCATCTTGGAGTTCCGAGGGAATGACATATGGTGCGGCTCCGGTGTCTCGTTTTGCCTTGGTCGAATTGGAAGAATAGTCCAATGGACCAGCAAGCGACAAGTCAGAGTCCTCTACCATCTCGTATTTGTTGAAAGAGGGATGATCGACACGGGCCTTGTTGATCTCAGCCAGCGCAGCAAGAGCTTTCTCAACAGCGGATTCCGCATCGCTGATGGAAATGTCACTTCGAGCTTCCATACCATCATGGTGGTGGGAATGTTGATGATGACGTTTGTGAAGGTGATGATGGCCGGTATGGCCAAGGACAAGAGGGCAAAAGACCAAGAGGCCACAAAGCATTCGATACATGCTAAACACACCTGAATCCATACTGAAGGTTTGATAGATTCCCAGTAGAACACAGTGGTGAGTATACAGCTTCGCTTGCTTGGTCAAATGGTCGAAGGCTTGAATAATATCGATGGAAAAGAGCTGGCCACACGGTACCGCCCACGTTGAGGATCGACGTGTAATTTCTGGACGACCACGAAGCGATATTCCTTCGGCAATTATCTCTGGCCCGTTGAAGTGGTCTTATTGTTTCTCAGACGCGATTCTTAGCGGTCTAGAACTTTTGAACCCTTCATGACTTTGCATTAGCGGCGTGCGTTCAACCTGACACGAGTTGATTAATACTTCATTTGCCTGGCTAATGGAACCAACAACTTTTCAAAGGTGAACCAACAGCCTTACCAGGATCGGGGTGAATCAAGGTCTGGGTCTTCCAAGGGTCTTCAGGGTCCTGATCATCCTAGTGGGTAGATAACCATCTTATTCAATCCACATTCGGGTAGCGGATGGTACCGTAGGCTTTTAGCCAATACTCCCAGCAGTATCAACGTGTTTATTGGGTCGCGATTTTTCTATCACAGGTATCTTTTTTATTTAATTTCCCAACTACGACCAACGTTCAGTAACGTGTGATAGTGGATAATCGCCGGGGTCGTGTTTTCGACTTACTGTTCATTTCCTTAGTTTGTGGATCTTACAACTGAAGCTAATAATGAACCCGCTCAACATAATTAGACAACGGCTGCCTGATCTGATGCTTTCTTCGTGAAGCTATGACTCGATGTCCTGCCAAGGCCGTTTGCTACAATAAGCTAAACGCATTGGTGAAATACTCATATCACCTTGTATATCGGGGACCCGAGCACAGGCACTGGTGAGCCCAAGTGGGATAGTTCTTCATCGCTTACGGATATTCCGCTCTTCATACCGTGCTTTTTCACTTGTTCCATTCATCCTTCACTTCACCACTTCGGCGTGATTCATTGGCGGTTATATGCAAGGTCGGAGATTACTTCCCTTTCATATTAGTCTACAAATCGGAGTTTGGAGATCGGGTTCAGGAACGGGTCGGAAGAATTACAGGGCCAGGTTCAATCAGTATGGAAGCGAGTGCCGTTAGCTGAGCTGTCATCGACATCGTCTTATTATTAACAGGATAACCTTTTCATTAGCAGCTTGCTTTTACCTTAACACTTTGTCACCTTGGTCTCAAGTGCATCCTCTGCCCCTCTAACGTTTCCTCCTACTTATCTCATCGCAATTGTCATTGATGAATTCACTAAGTACCCCATTCGGTGATTCAAAATGCGCCGCCTTCTTGAAATCCTGTTGCCGATCTTGTTTTTGTTCGTCATAGTTGCTGCTGCAGAGGAATGTAGCGCATCGAAGCCATGTGAGATTGGTTGCTGCTCCAAGTACGGGTTCTGTGGTCTGGGCCCCAACTGTAAGACTCACTGCCTCCCTTCTACCCTATGGTAAGGATATACTAACGGCTAGTTCACTCTAGTCTGCGGTACCAAGATTTGTGTCAACAACTGCGAGAGAAAAGCCAAATGTGATCCCGGTGACTTTGGAAAACAATATGTCAATGCCACAAAATGTCCTTTGAACGGTGAGTTTAATATCTTGGATGTAACGAAGGGCGTCTATTGACATCGCGGTTGCTTCCCAACATCAGTCTACTGCAGTAGACATGGTTTCTGTGGAACGACAAAGGACTTTTGCGGTAACAAGAAAGTCAAAAGACCTTCATGCTCGGTCAACAACCAAGGCTTCGACCGAGTTGTTGGCTATTATGAGGGATGGTCCGCCAGTAGGTCTTGCAACCAATTCTACCCAGAGCAACTTCCTGTTGGCGTCTATACTCACCTCAACTATGCTTTTGCATCTATTGATCCGGTCACCTTCCAAGTTGTTCCATCGCTGTCTACTGATGTGGACATGTACAAGCGAGTCACCAACCTAAAGAAGGCAGACCCTGACTTGAAGGTATTTATCGCTATTGGCGGGTGGACATTTAATGATCCAGGCCCTACAGCGACGACCTTTTCAGATATTGCACGATCACAGGCAAATACTGAGAAGTTTGGAAATTCACTAAGATTTATGACCAAGTATAACTTTGATGGCGTTGATCTGGATTGGGAGTATCCAGGTGCTGACGATCGAAGTGGCAGAGCTGAGGACTATAAGAATTTCCCTATCTTCTTGCGAAGGCTCAAGGCAATTCTCAAGTCCGGCAGCGGCCGCGATGGAGTTAGCTTGACGCTTCCTGCATCTTATTGTACGTCAAGAAATACTGAGCTGTACGGGAGATGACTAATTTGTCCAATAGGGTATCTTCAGCACTTTGACATCAACGCCATTCAGAAAAATATCGATTTCTTCAATATGTAAGTCATAAGAAATATCCGAGAAATGACTACTGAGTCTGACACTATCAGAATGTCATATGATCTTCACGGCACCTGGGATAAGGGGAACAAGTGGGTTGGTGCTTACCTGAACTCTCACACTAATCTCACAGAGATTACACAAGCTCTTGACCTGCTCTGGCGTAACGATCTTTCACCAGACAAGGTTGTTCTCGGCCTCGCTTTTTATGGAAGAGCCTTTACCGTTGAGAACACAGCGTGTACCAAGCCTGGTTGCACATATGCCTCTGGAGGTAAAGCACGATCCTGCAGTAATGAGGTGAGCGTCATTCTCAATTCAGAAATCGAGGATATTTTCAACTCTTCGTCGGTCAAGCCAACGTTGTACAAAAAAGAGGCTGTCAAGATTCTGAACTACGAGAAAAATCAGTGGGTAGCCTACGATGACGAGGACACGTTCAAGCTCAAGGCAGATTTTGCCAGAGGGCAATGTCTTGGAGGTCTGATGGTTTGGGCCGTTTCCCACGACACGAAAGATGCCAAGTACACCTCTGCTCTTGCAAAAGCGGCCAACAGAAAGTTTGTTGCTGCTCTCCCAGCCACAGATGGCTCGTCAACTACGATCAAGACCAAGCATGCGCAGTGCAAATGGACTAACTGCGCCGAGAGTAAGTGATTGGGTGTCAATATATGTTTGGAAAATAGCTAACACAACCTCCAAGATTGCCCATCAGGCTGGCTTCGGGTTGCCCGCACAGACGGCCAGGCACGTAAGGGCGAGTACATGGTCGATGAAGGGGGATGCAACGGTCTCGGTGTCCATCAGTTCTGCTGTCCACCTGGTGAAAGGGTTCCCACATGCGGTCGGTACGACCACAACAACGGAGCCTGCGGTGGGAAATGCCCCAACAGCATGGTTGAGATAGGCTCCCTCAGCAAGTACTGTGACAAGAGCTACGAGGTAGCCTGTTGCTTTGCGACGGAAAATTCTATGCAACTCTACAACCAATGCAGCTGGAGCTTAGACTTTCCCAACTGCGACAAGGGTACATGCTCAAGCGGTTCTGTTGAAATCGCCAGGTCAATGTCTGGTAGTGGAGGTGCATTCTGCAGCGCCGTCGGTGGCGCAAGAGGAGACCCTTTCAGCAGCAAAAAGAAGGTTGGCCAGGAGCGCAAGTATTGTTGCCGCGACGACCTGAAGGACCAGAAATGGAGCGACTGTGAATGGGAGAGTCATATTGGTGTGATCCCCAAAAACTGGGGTGGTTTGGGTTACTGTATCAGTGGATGCCCAAGCGACAAAGTCCGTGTGGCTATGGACTACAACTCGAGAGAGTGCTATAACGGTGGCGTTAGAGCAAAGTGCTGTACACCATCTTTCTCTACCACTGTCACCAATAACCCTGAGGACAAGGAGCTGGCGGATGCTCTTGAGATCTTCCTCGACAAGCCCGTCTGTACCAACGAGACCCAGTCGTTCCGCTATGAGAGCCAAGAGATTGTCATATCACGTCTTACTAGGATGCTTTATTCCTCAGTTTCGTTGGATAGGGTCGCCACTTGGGACAGCAAAGTTGGCAGAAAGTACAAAAATCTCAAGTATAAGTCGCTTCGAGATTGGAGTCGCTCAGACGACTATGCAATAAGGCTCGGCTCTACAAGGCTACCAGAGACCATCGTCTGCCAACTTGACTTCTACAACAAGAACCTTGGTGGTGAGGACGTGTTGAAGTGCTACCAAGGCACCTCGGTTCGCCCCAAGAGCAAGAGGTCGCTCGACCTACCTCTGGATGCATTGTCTTACACTTCGATCCAGGGAGATACGTCCTCGGCCTACAACCATGGGGTATTCAAGAGAGATCAGCAATACGAAATCAAGACTATTTCGAGGCTGACAGGTGCACAAGTGATACTCAACGTGTGGGGTATCAGCGTGAGTTAATTTCTATTTGCATACATTGGCTGTTACATTCATGGCAGACTTATTAATACTGTGTCTAGTATCCATCCCGTGGCAAATTCTTGATAACAGACCCCATTTGGCAAAGAGCTTATGACTTCATTTCGAACAATTGTTTCGATGCGGCTATTGGTCAAATTACTCGTCCTCCTGGGGACAACAGGGGTCTTGTCAGTAAGTGGCAATCTATCTGGCCGAACCAGTTTTACTAGCTAACTAGACCTACAGCTGAGCACATCTTTGAAAAGCAGGGCGTGCTTAATTTCATTAAAACCACTATTAGCGGCTTGCTTCCAGACAACAGAATCTCGAGCTTTCCAGGCATAGACCCCAGCTTTTGGACCACCACGGCCTTTCACCAACTTCGAAATGTCGCTCCTATTGGTGACCATGAAGTCGCACCTATCCGCCGCATCTTCACGGTTCTCGGTGCTGATAACTACCGGGCCCCATTTGTCCTTGCTGGCGAAAAGCTCAATGGCGTCAAGGCTACTCTTTGGGGACATAATGAGCTTGCTGACGAAAACGAAATGAATGCCTGGGTTTTGAACGATCCTATCAGCTTCCTGAATCAAATTCGATGTGTAAGTCTACATAAACTCCTTGGCACTCACGTAACTGAAGGTGGCAAGAAGACAAGCCTGGCTAATCCCTTCTCTTCCAGGTCGTTGGGACTATACGATATCTCAACCACGACACTGTCAATAGACACCTGGCGGGTATAATCACTAATTTACGCGCTGAGCTCACTCTGGCCGAAGCGTTGTATCGTAGTGAGCATCCCACCGCAGCAATACCCAATGTCGTAACTCGGTTTGACGAATGGGCATGTGTCCTCTTTCGGACCATCAGTCTAAACGTGCAAGATTTTGTGTTTACGTGGGTTGGAGTAGGCCTACGTGCTTGGGAAACAAGAACCAATCATCCTAACTACCTACAGGTTGTTAACAGTCTATAGGTTCTAGCTGCCGCGGCTGGTGCATTAGCTGTGAATCTAGATTGTGTGCCTGGGCAATCTTAAGTTGTTTGAGTATAATATTAGATTTTAAGCTTATTTCTTAAATAAAGAAGCTCATATCTATCTAATAGCTTGCGCAATATAAGTATAGATGTATTTAATATTTATTATTATACTGTTAATACTTATAATAGTATTTTTATAAAACTAGTAGTAATTACTAATTAGAATTACACTTAAATTTAAAGAAAATAAGAGTTTATAATATTAGCTAATATTAGGTATAATTAAATAAGCTTAAAATATAAGAAATATAACTTAATGAGTAAGCGCTGCATATAAGTAAATGCTATACTTTTCTATATACCCTTTATTATATATATAATAAAACTACTATAACCTATTTAATTAATTATAATTATTTACTATACTCTTCTCTAAATGCCTTTAAAACTACTTAATAAGTTCTTATATTATACCTAGCCTTACTATATATACTATATTATTAAATATTTAGTTTAATAGACCTTACTTAACTATTACTTTTCAATAACTTACCTACTACTTATATATTAATATCTATTTAATTAATTATTTATAATACTTATTAAACTACAGCCTATATTGCCTAGGATTATTATTATTTAATTGATAATTTATCTAGTCTATTTCCCCTCTTTAAGTAGTTTACCTTATATTAGTTTTAATTAAGGTTTTATTCAGTTAAGTAATTTTCCTTTTATTTATTTGAGCTTTAATTAGTAAAAACACTCTTTATATTATTATATAATATCTTTAGTTTAATATATCCCCTTAAATTAAAAAAATAAATAATTTAATCTCTTTTTAGCCTCTTTAAGATATATTTTAATATTTTAAGTTTTCTTTTCTTTTAAATCCTTAATTAATCTATTAAATTATAGTATATTTATAATTTTATTTTTTAACTCTATGCTTTATGCTAAGCCTAAGTCTTCTTAAAGTTTTCTTATAAATTTAAAACTAGAGGATCTATACAGATTAAAAACCTAATATATTAAACCTAAGTTTCTCTTAATAACTAACTTTCCTAATAAGATAATTAATATATTAATAATTAAACACTATAATAAGAGGGCAATAAAAGAAGCCTCTATATGCACAGTAGCTTCTTCCTCCTGCAACCCACTACTAAGCACCTCTAAATAATTACTTATCTAAATACTAAGGCAGTCAGTTAATCCCTGGTCTATTTGCTACTAGCTGCATTATATAGCTAACTAATACAGCACTATACTGCCTAGAAAAAGAAGCCTCTATAGTGGCATTTATAACTATTTTAATAGCTATTTCCTCAGCGAAAAGGATACTATTAATACTATCTTACTTAGTAATAATAGCAAGGACTTAAAGTAGCTAAGGCATAAGGCTAGGTGCCTCTAAGAGGCCTAGTATAATAATAATTACTATAGCCTTATTAGGCTAATTGCCTTTAGCTATAAGCTCCTCTTGCTCTTTATAATGCATTTTTAAACCTATAAGCTAGGCCAGATAGTAATAAGGCTTAAGCAAGAGCTTAAGCATCTAAGGGACCTTAAGAAGAGGCTTATAAGATAGCCTAATAATATCTATTATAATAAAGTTACCTTCCTTAAGGAAATTAAGTTAAACTATAGGTATAAGGCCTAGTATTAATACCTTAGGTTATAGGTAGCCTAGGCTAATAAGGCCTTTAATAATGCTATTATTAATTTAATTAAAAATGAGATTATTAAGGATACTGCTAAGGTAGCTAAAGTAATAAGGGCATCTGCAGAGGAGGCCTTATAAGCTAATAGTAGAAGCTATATATAGGGTTAACTGAAGGTTAATATGGGGATTATATTGGGGATATAGAAAGTTAAAATGCAGGCTAACCCAGAGGCAAAAGCTAACTCTATAGGAATTAATCTAGTTATATAATATACTGTCTTAAAATTTTATTACTAAACTTGCATTAAGATATTAAAATTTTAAACTATATTTTAAACTAAGGATATTTATAATAATATATTATATATATATATTATTAGAGTTATTAAGATATTACTTAAATATTTAAGCTTATTATTTATAATTTATTAATAAAAATTACCTTACTTATAATAGTTAGGATTTCTAAGGGATAAACTAGTTTATTTTAAGTTTATATTAGCAGAGTTATAAGGTATATAATACTAAGTAGTTTTAAAGTATTATATTTCTTAATAGTAAATAAGGCAGATTAAGTATATTTAAGTAAAGATATTTTATTAATAGCTATTAAAATAAGTATATTAATTAATAATAAATATATATATTTATATATTTATAATAGCTTATAGTTTAATTAAGCTACTATAAGTAATTATAACTATAATTAGTAAAAAATAATAGGGCTTATATAATTATCTATTAGATTATAATACCTAGTATTAATGCCTTAAGTTGCAGATAGCCTAGGCTAATAAGGCCTTTAATAATATTATTATTAAGTTAATTAAAGATAAGATTATAAAGGGTATTATTAAGGTAGCTAAAGTAATAAGGGTATTTGCAGTAAAGGCTTTATAAGTAATAAAAGCTATATATAGTATTAATTAAAGGTTAATAGGATTCTATTGGGGATATAGAAAGTTAAAATGCAAGCTAACCTAGAGGCAAAAGTTAACTCTATAGGAATTAATTTAATTATATAATATACTATCTTAAAATTTTATTATTAAACTTATACTAAGATATTAAAATTTTAAACTATATTTTAAACTAAGGGGTTTATTTAATATATTTAATTAATAAGTTTATTATATTAATATATTTAATTTGTAAGACTATTCCTTTATTATATAAATAATAAAGAAATTAAATATAAAGTATATTATTAGCTATTAGTTAATTATACCCTATAAATAATTAATTATTAACCTACTTTATAACCTTAAATATACTTTTTCTATAATAATACTAATAGAAGTAACCTTTTCCTAGTTATAGGTAGGTTTACTGAGGTATATACCCTAGTCCCGGTTATAAGCATATAAGGTTATATAATCTAGGTACCCTTTTGCCCCTGACAGTATAGCAATAGTACCTGCTGGACATATAACCCGGTCGCGCCGCCTCCCCATACAATTAGAGATAATATTCATGCCTGAAGATGAGGTACTATTAGTAGGCAAACAGGAAGATTGGATTCTGTTATCAGATCGAGAAAGGACCAGAGCTCTCTTTCAATAGCTAACTGTTAAAAAATAGAAGTGCACACTATTTCTATAATCTATACTAGTCTATAGGACTATTCCAATTGATACAATGACAGCCATCAAAGCTAAGCTAGCCCTGCCAACCGTTCTCTTGCCCCTGCTATCAGAAGTATCACCATAACCAATATTGGCAGAATTGTTTCCGAACCCAACTGTACGCTGCCACACAGGTAGAGAATTGTCAAGACTCAGAATGTCGGAGTGGTATTCATCAAGAACACCAGAGAAGTTGAAGGAGACGCGACCAATCACTCTGGTATGCCCCCATGTAGGAAGCGCCGGATTATCTACAACCTCGCGATAATTCGGTTGCCTGATCGCACTTGCATGCCAAAAGGCATCGAAGGTCAGATTGGCTGTCTTGTCATCGAACTGTAAGCTGGTCTTGGGGTAGTGATATTCAACCGGCCCAGTCCAAAGACCTTCGTCTTGCGTGAAGTACATTCCCTCGTCCAAGATTACAACTTTCCACTCATCCTTCCATTCGGTAATATTGCAGACTGGTATCTTCATATTCTGCCAGCTCGCGGCTTCTAGCCCTGCCAATGATTTAGTAATTTTGTAAGCTCCTCCTGAGACCTGGGTAGTTGTAAAGTTGAAGTAGTCAGGGCCCTTGTAAGGTCTATAGACAGGAGTATCAAGTGGTCTAAATAAAATGTTAGCAAAGAATAACTCAATGCTTTAGTTAGACTTACTGAGCCGAGTAAACATAGGAGCGATTTTCTCCATCGCGCATCCACCATTCACCGAGGTCAGAGACATTGGTAGGCCCAGAGGTTTGCGGCATAAGCGTAAGCCAGAATTGTAGTGAATTATTTCCAGGGTTCAAGGGTTGATGCTCTAGAACGCTGAGGATGGCATCATATTTGACGGTAGTGGAGAAGTTCCTGACCTCCTCACATTGCTCAGATGGTTCAACCCAAGGAGTGAAATCGACTACGAACTCGGCCTCTACCGTAGCATTATAGTATCTGTAAAAGGTTAGTCAAGTTCTTAAGAATTACTGACAGGAATTAGACTTACGATCCGACCCAACTGTAAAAGTCGCCGAGCCCGGTCACGTTTGTGGGACGACGGTTCTCGATAGGATCATATTCCTTCTTCTCTTCCTCTTCCTCTTCAGCGATTCCTGAGGTAATAAGAGAGAAGAGGAAGATAGCGCGTAGGAGTATCTGCATGAAAGCTAACATTGTGGGTGGTTGATAGCAGTGCGACAGTAGCAGTATGGTATGAATAAAAGGCTCGAAAGGCGCTGAACGCGACTACTTAGCAAGTTGAGTTGGCTGCGCTAGGCAATCTCGCTTAAAGGCCCGGTGACTTCTTCTGTTAGTTCTGAACTCTTGGCTGTCTTGGCTTTTGCTTCTTGCTCTGCTACTATTGGTCTGCCCTGCGGCGAAGCACCAGTTGTTGCCGTTAGCCGTTCGTGTCCCAATAGACTAATACGTAAGGTGCTACACTTTATGGCCTTATCTAGAGTGGTTATAGGCTAATTACTTGCACACTATTGGGTAATAGAAGAACTATCCTCAAGACTCAGGGCGACAGAATTAGGCGGCTCAGATGTTGGTTTAAGCTCGCATAAGGTGACCGAAGTATTCTGTCCCCATGGCCCTTACGGTTGACTCTTCTGATAGCTTGCTTGACGTGCTGCGAAGAGATCCTTACGGATCTAGATGGCATGCTAAATTGACACTTTTCAGAATTTCCTGACAGTTGGAGGCATGGAATATGCTGAACACGGGCTCGATAGTCCAAAATGATGCCTGAATAGGTGGAAATGCTTTGTATAATCTGTTGGTAATGGCTGGATTAGATTTATAAAGCTCAAAATTAACTACTATTCAATGCTTTATATTGTTACTGGGCTCCACCTATTCTGCGCGCATTAACTAAACCAATAGCAGGACGAAAACCCCGTCTTAGCTGACTGATCAAGATACAATGGAGACAGCAAAATGTTACGTACAAAAATGGTTCAAAGAGCTGGCCTTGGTTCTCTGCTCAATGCTCTTTTATGCCGCCTCCTTAGTCACCCTAGTCCCTGCCTCGATGGCCTTGAGTGTGGAACTGGATGGTGCGCTGATATCTCGAGTGGTCTCCCCAAAGTCGTCGATGCGGGATTGCATACCGTCAATAATGTCGCGCTACTTATCATCAGAGATTCTCCGTAGTCTCTTGTTAGTACTGTGCTGCTCTGGGAGATAAATCGAGAGGTGAAAGTGGTGGATAGGACGAAGGGTTTGACGGGAAGGGAATGAACCCACCTTGACACGATCGGCAGCCTCCTAGGACCAGTGCGATAGCATCCTCATCTTATGCGCCAGAGTTTCCGGATCCCGCTCTTCAGCAGTGTAGGAAATCTCATCACAAATCTTCAGTTCGGGCATCGCGACCTCCTGACTCAGCGTAACCCACATCTTGGCAATGTCTCCAAAGACAGTGCTCACTATCGACTGTTCAGTGGAAGGTCCTGTTACATGGCCAGTCCAAGTGAACTCACTCTTGTCGAGTTCCAATCTCGGGACCTGGAACTAATTGTCCAAGGCGTTCATGTGGGAACGATCGATGGTCTCGGTGTGGGCTTCGGCTACAATTTTGATAAAGTCAAGTCTTCTGGTGGGGTCGAATAATCGAGATGTAGAACTAATGGCTATGGCTCGTATGGCAAACTCCGAGATGCAGTATGGCGTGCTCTAGTGGGAGACCGAACTCCACAAGGACGAGCCGCTCCTCCAGGATACAAGTCTTTATTAAACTTTCCGATACTAACTGATTGCAACGACATCCCATACGCTTCGTCAAGAGGTTCTAAAGCGTTTGCCTCCAGTATGGCTGAGAACAGGAATCTGCAGATCGCAGGAAGGCCTCTTGGCAACTTCTTCCCATAGATTAATGGACCAGTACCTGATGAGGCCCAAGATGCACTAGAAAGGATATTCCGACTTCATCGTTTTCGGAAACTTGCAACTACCGTCCTGGGACATCTGGGTCTTGTTCCCATGGATACTCAGCAGGGTGATCTAGTGTATGCGCTCCAGGGATGCAATATTCTGATGGTGCTACAAAGGATGACTGGCTCAAGGCACAAGGTCATTGGGGGAGCCTATTTTCAAGGCTTTATGGAAGGTAGTGTGGAGCGAAACACGGGGGATGAGACTGGCCTGAGTAATAGTCTACACAGACTTGTTTTATATTGATAGCCTGACATGATCATCTCTACATAGTCTACAAGGCATGTGCAGGGATTTAATTATTATTCATATATACTAAGAATAGTAAACACAACTAGGCTGTAGCATACTCTCTATGATATACAATCAACACAAATGAGTACAACCAAATTTTCCTTTCCTTGACAGTAGCTCGGATCATGTCATGTGCAGAGGTAACAGCACAGTGGGTACTGTCAAGTTCAAGTCTGTTGGACAGGAAGTGCACAGGAGTCCTTACTTAGTAAGCTCCAGCAAAGGCAAGGCCTGCGATGGCGGCGACAGCAGCAACTCCAAGCCCAGTACCGCGAGCTCCAGAGTTCTCAGCAACGCTGGTAGGGGTGGCAGTGCTTGCAGCAGTCTCGGTGACTGAGCCAGTGGCAGCTTCAGTAACAGAGTTGGTAGCCTTGGCAGTAGCAGTACTAGTCTTAGTAGCAGAAGCGGTAGCCTAAGCAAAGGAGGAGCAGAATCCGCTGACAGGAATAGCATAAGAAGAAAGCTGCTCCTGAACCTCAGGGATATCACTGCAAGCATTATAAACGCTAGAAAGATCCTCCTTGAATTCAGAAACCCAGCTCTCTATAGACTTGGCGTAGGAGGTATAGGCAGTGGCTATGGACCCAGTAACAGCTAGGATAATGCAGGACTCAGCGACGTCAGCGAAATCGGTCTGCTTGGCGAGGAAGCTTTTAAGAGTCTTGTTAGCGGTGGGCATATTGCTTATGACCTCGATAAGGCCGCTGGCAGCTGAGGTGCAAGAGTTAATGTTACGCTTGGCGGCGTTAACGGAGCCAGCCATGGCGGCAGCGAAAAGGGAGAGTCGAATGATTTGCATTTTGAGGTTAAAACATGGTTAAAAGAATGTGGTGAAATGAATGTGGTGAAATGAATGTTGAGATAGTTGGTTTGAATACTGACGATCTGATAAGACAATGAACAGCGTCTAGTATGACCTTATATAATTCGTCTCCTTTGTACAAAGGGTTGTCATTGATGTGAGCTTGGTAATAAAAGTGAGATCGCTCACGCCGTTAAAGATGCCTGAGAGCTGAAGCAGGTGATCCACAGGGAACCTACTGTCGCGAGTTGATAGGACGAGAAACCAAAAGATCGCCGAGACCCTGACTGGACTGGCCAGTTGTCTCGGTAGTTACCGAATAGAGTCAAGAACGTTTATTTCCGTGAAAAGTTCAATTGTGAATCAATGTGTCTTCTTACGAGGGTCTAGCCTCAATTCGGAATGATAGAACGCGCTTTGATAGAGCTAAAAGACTTTAGCTTCGTCTGTCACAAAACCGCGCCCTACGACACCACTAATGCAGGGGTTACACGCGTCGGATAACCAATCATCCATGTGGCTCCTGGTGCATGGACCAGCTCTGTAATGACTTGTGAGTGTTCGTCGGGAACGGAATATTCACATCTGAGGCATGGGACGTCTGGACTCAAGTTACCTCAATGCAAACCTCATCTTACACAAAGTGACTTGCTAGTCTCTGCCCATGCTCACAGCGGTTGCAGGTTCAGTTCGCCCAGTGCTCTCTTTTCCTCTACAGCTGATCTTGTCACCAACACACGGGGATCAAGCTTAACTATCACGGGCAGTACTGTAGTAGGTTTGGACTCGCCAGGTATTCGCACCTAAATTACACAAAGACGAGTAACAAAGTAGGGTCCCAACCTCTGTCTATGTGCTATTACCTGCTTTAGCAGTTCCAGTTACACGTTAAATACAGCCGTTCTAGGGTAACAATCTTATCGATAACGGTCTGGTTAACCGGATTCAAGATAGCTTCTCTAAATGACGTAATGGACTAAGCTAACGGATGCCCTCGAATAGCTAGAGCTGATGGGTAAAGCATGTTCACTCATAGTCTCTATCCAACTTTAGCTTTTGTTGAGTTAGATCAGTCGTTAAAGCAATCCTCCCGATATCTCGGTTAGGGTATACGTCGCGAATCTGAACCCGAATATCTCCCAGAACCTTTAAACTATCTTGACCACTTAAACCACTTCCAACTTGATTCGAAATATCGATGAATGGAGAATCCCTGGTCAGACTAGCCACACTGTTGAGAAAATCCGGTGCCTTGATTCGCAAACGAATGATTACGTTTGCAATAGCACAGATAACCAGAACCACCGTAGAAATCACTGTAATGCTGAGCCATGACCAATCTACAACGTAGATGTCTGTCGCAAATTCTGACCAGGTTGCTGTACCACTCTTCCAAGGAAATTCACTGTCGTCTATGACAGCTCCGTAGCCACCGGTCAAAGCAGTCAGGTTATAAGATGCCATGACAAAGGTATTCAGGACCATGGAAAGTCGCCTTTCTAGAACCGCTGCGGGCACAGAAGAGTAACAGCCCTGATAGTTGCGGGGGTCTGAGTGAGGGTAGTTAAAGTCGCGCTTCAGTGTGTTCGTTGGATCTCTGAGATACGCTTCCACGATGCTTGGTGCCCTTCTACTTTCATGCTCGGTTGCGCCGGTGAATGGGATGTCCATCAGAATACCAGCAGCCATAAAACGCGATGATAATGCCGTCAAGTTTCCCTGTTTAGGGTAAAAAGGCGCTCGTCGCGCGCGAGAAACTCGACATACAAGGTCGGCGTCAGAATCTGCTCTCGTGCATTGTACTTCCATCTCGATATGCGACGTATAAACACCGCATAGCCTCAGTCTCACGTTCTCGAGCCAGCGCCTGTTATCTTCGAATTGGCATCCGCCTCCCATTATAAGCTGAAGATTCGAATGGGCCCCCTGTTGACCACGTCTCGCGAAATCTAATTGTTCACGTGCCGTGGAGGTATTGGCAATATCAAACCAGATATTAGGATAGCTAGTGGCCTTTTGTCCTTCAAAGGTTTGACTTCTCAGTGGATCGGGTGACGTTGTGTTGTGAAAATAGAGGGACGTAGAATCATTTCTTACCCAGCTGGTACCGTCAAAGTCATCACCACAACCAAGTGTTTGATAATGATATTGGACCATCATGGTCAAATTCCCAGCTCGATTGAATGATTCCACCCGGATTGGAAGTCCTATCAGCGACGCATAAGGCACAACTTGGTCCAAGGGGACTAGAACCCAAAATGTAGGGTTGTTACTGTCATATCCAGGGAGAAGCTCAAGGAAAGGCACTCGTACGTTTCGCCATAGGTCTCAGTACCCCAGACGAGATGCTTGTAATCTACCCCCAAATTCATCAATGGTATTGTCAAAGCTGGGACTACTTCCATTAGCGTGCGAAATGAGAACATCGGGATTAGAGAATGACGCAGAGATAATACTCCGCATTCCAGCAATAAGAGATGCTCTTCCTGACGCTCCGGTATGCACATCAGCTCCACGACGATAATACGGAATAATTTCGCTCTCATTGCTGCCAAGGTAGTGGAAAGCCCGTGTCTGTGTGGTTTCAAGTTTCTGCTGTACGTGAATAGACCGAAGGGCTGCTTGACCTCCCAGGGGCCCCAAAAGCCAGACTCCAGCAATTACAAGAGCGCTCACTTCCTTCATTCTTCTAAGGGTTAGAAGTTTCAACAATGCTGTAGCTGTTGTCTGACTAGTAAGTAGAAATTCTAGGGAAGCCAACGTTGTGCCTCTCTCTGCTTTTAGCAGTGCAATAGTTTTGAGGAAGGGACCCAAAACAGCGGCGAACGTAATAGGCCACAATGTAGACGCGATTCGAAGGACTTCAATTACTGTATCGCCAAACGAGCTTTGTTCCTTGTTGTGGAGGTAGGCAACCATTGAGATCAAGACTAGGAAAGTGTGAGAGTATGTTTACCACACTTGTAAGGTTACGCACTGCTGTAAAGGATGGGAATGAGAAGGAGAGTTACTGGCGCTGCGAGTCTCATCATTAAAGAGGGCGTTGATTGCCTCAACGATTGAGGGCTTGGCATCAAGGATCTGTTTCGAGCTTCATCCGAGTCTTGGAGCTCTGATGTGGCCATCAGGCCTTGCTTCTCTTGTCTGGTAGTAGGCTCCATGGAGAGCCAAAAGAGTAGTCAGTGATAAGTTGCTTATAAAATTGAGTAACAGATATAAGAAGAGAGAGACATTAGTAGAAGAAGGGGGGTTGGTATGGGTTTGTGAGACAATGCAGCTCACTGGGTGCCCATTTATTCAAGACAATAAACCTTGAGGATGTGTTGAGACATGGATGTGGGGACCGTGCACTGGACAGTTATAATTCGCCTGTTGGTTGCGATTCTAAGCACAGACACGTGGGATTGGACTACGCCGCGATCCTACATATTGAAATTAAATGTTGGTCGTTGATTCCTTGTCATCTTTGTCAACAATGTCTCCTTTTCTCGGTGAACGTGGATCGATGGCTGTTTATGCTTTTAACCTATAATTCAAGAGTGGAGTTTTAGTTGAAGTATCCACTATTAACATATCTGGGTGCACCACCAAGGAGAAGAGCTCAAAGGTCCAATTTGCGCATTAGTCTCATAGCTTATTTTGAAGTAACTGCAATAAATAAAATCTCAAATTCCAAACTCCGCAGAAACGATTCGTCATTGCGGTTGCAGTTAGTTAGATCATAAGGATGTAGATTAACCAGGGTATAGTATGATCTTCAGTGGGGTATTCTATTGTTACTGTACTGACATAGCCAGATCCTTGAACTATATAATCTAAAGAGATTAAGTAAACTGATAGCCTGTACTTTTAGTAACGGTTAAGCATAGGGTAGTTTAAGAGCAGCTAACCTTTTTGACTACTCGGTTAGGTCTAAATATAGTATCAGATTCTTACTGTATCTAAACACTGACGTAATGCACCGAATTTATCTTTACCCCGCCCCCGCATCATAGCGAGTTTAATCATCCGTTAAACTATCACAACCTTCCTATGGACATCTATCAATTAAACTCAACCAGATACAAATATCGATCAAGAAAATGTCAAACCGGGAACTCCCGACCTGCCGATGGGGCATCCTCAGTCTGTGACGGTTGTGATTCCCATGGGATAAACTAGTCCATACTAGGTTTATATTTGGCAGATATGTTGGGCATTGTAATACTAAGTGTAGCGAAGTGTTATATCTCTTAATAGTGAATAGAGCGGGTAAGGCATATTCAGGTAAAGATGTTTTATTAATAGCTGGTAAGCTAAGTCCTATTTAGTGCTAAAGGAGTATATATATATATAAAGGGTTACTTATACTATAGTAAGCCTTAAAGAAAGGCTTATAATATTAAAGGTAAGCTATAGGGTAGGTTATATATATATATAAGTAAGCTTAATAAGGCTTACTCTGGTATAAGTAAGCTTAATATTAATTAGAGGAAACTTATAAGGTATATATAATATAACCGCTAGGGTTATATTATAATCTCTCCTCTTTATTAAGTCTTATCCTTAAGGCCTATATAACTTATTCTTTCTAATAATAGTTTTTTAATAAGTTTAATTTAAACTTATATTCTTTATTATATTAAGGCATTCTATTAAATAGAAAATAGATTCTTTTAATAATATACTAGTAACTTTTATAGAGAAGTATTTTAAAGCTGCTAAAGGTATTATATAGTTTAGTTTTAAAGTTATACTTTATTCTTATTATTTAAAGCGCAGTATTATATATAAAATAATTATAGGAAAGAAAAAGTATAGTTTATATATATTACTTAATTATCCTTGCAATATAACTAGTATACTTTTTAACTCTTATAGGTTTATATAATTTTATATTTTTATTAGGGTATAGCTAATAGAATAGTTACTTATATTATTAATAAGGTAAAGCGTCTTAAAGAGTAAGAGGCTACTGCTAAGGAGCTTCTATCTTCTTATTATAAAGCACTTCGGGTTATATAGAGAGAGTTAAATAAGTCTCTTTCTTAACTAGAGTCTTATTATAAGCGAAAGAAAGAGCTAGTATCTTATAGTATAGATATAACTTATTATAGTCTGGATTTATTAAATAAACTTAAAGAGGCTAAGAAAGCTAAGTCTTCTATAGAGCAGCTAGTTATTAAGGATATTTATTTGCTAATGCACTTAGATATACTTAATTTTAATTTCTTTAATTTTTCTAGTATTAATAAAAGTTCTTTAAGAGCTATTAGGCATTAATAAGATTTTCTAGTAATTCCTATATATTTTTATTCTCTAGGTAGTTTTTCTATTTAATTAAGTATATTATTTACTTATTAATTTACTTTATATCCTTAATTACTTCTACTTTATAAACCTCTGGTCTTTTAATATCTTCTTGTAATAGTTATAATTCCCAAGGGATAAACTAGTCTATACTAGGTTTATATTAGCAGGTATATAGGGCATTATAATACTAAGTATAGCGAAGTGTTATATCTCTTAATAGTAAATAGAGCAGGTAAGGCATATTCAGGTAAAGATGTTTTATTAATAGCTATTAAGCTAAGTATATTAACTAATACTAAGTGAATATATATATACTTTAGGGATCCTTAAGGGATTACTTAGGTCTAGGGATTGCAGTAATCCTAGATTATAGGTACTCTTAGAGTATAATAATCCTATATAAGTATAATCTATTTATAATTAGTTTAGTAAACTTAGGAAGCGAGTTTATAATTAAGTGGGTTAAATTATATAAAATTTATAGGGTATATATAATATAACTGCTAAGGTTATAATATAATCTCTCCCCTCTATTAAGTCTTATCCTTAAGACCTGCATTTAACTATTTATCCTTATCTTAAAACTAGTAAGTCTTAACTTAGACTTATAAATATTCTTATTATATATTTCTAATAAAATATCTAGTTATATTATAAAGTATATTAACTATAAAACTAAAGAGTATAAACTTCTTACTAAGGCTATTAAATTATTATATAAACTCGCAGATATGCCTTATTCTTATTATTTTAAATATTAGAAAGATTATCTTATAACAGTAGATTCTTTATATTATAGTAAGTATATCTGCTATAGTTACTTATATAATAGTACTTAAGTAGCTACTTTATATAAGATTATTAGTGTTTATTTTATAGCTTTTTCTTATTTTTATTAACTTTTTTTAATATAAAAATTAATTTCCTAGGAAAAGAAGTTAGAGGATAATAAGGAAAGGGCTAGTAAGGATCTTTTAAAACTTTATAAGGTATTAGCTTTATTATAAGCTTATATAGCTATTGCAGCTAGTTATTTATCTTATATTTAAAAAACGAAAAATAAGATAAAGGAGTATTATATCTCTGAACTTTATTATAGTATTTAGGGTTTAAATAGTAAAGATAAGTTAGCTGAAGAGTTAAGCCGTTATAAGGAAGCGGTTTCTAAGGAGTTGCATTCTTTAAACACTGAGAATCTAGATTAAGAATCCTTAGGGCTAGGTAATTTTAATTTTAACCCTTTATTTTCTGGCAAGACTAGTAAAAGTTCTTTAGGAGTTATTAGGTATTAATAAGGTTTTCTAGTGATTCCTATATATTCTTATTTTCTAGGTAGTTTTTCTATTTAATTAGGTATATTATTTACTTATTAATTTTCTTTATATCTTAGATTACTTCTGCTTTATAGACCTCTAGTCCTTTAATTTCTTTAGGTTTATTATTTACCTTAACTTATATTATATTAGCTGCTAATTTAAGTAAGGAAATATAAAAGATTAAATAGAGCCTGACTTTTAATAGTAGGTCTAGTTTATAATTATTTTCTAAAATTTTCTTTATAATTTTATATAGTCTAATATATTTATAATCTAATTTATATAAAGGTTATTTTATTATAATATTTTTTATAGCTAGGTAAACTATCTCTCTCTCCTTAAAGGTTAATCCTCTGACCTTCTTAGTATTATAGTATTTTTTTATTTTTTTTCTAATAAATTCTAATTTTATTTTTATTTCTTTATATAGGTTTTTTAATTTATCTGCTTTTAGGATTGCAGTAGGGTTAATTATCTCTGTTTTGCAATTACTATAATAAGTATTAAGGGTAAATCTAAAGTTTATATAGGCTAGTATTAACTTTATACTCTTATTATAGGCAATATTATAAGCTAATTATGCAATAAGTAGCTTTTTAACCTAATTATTTTATCTATAGTTAATATAGCATTATAAGTATTATTATAGTATTTAATTTATTTATTCTATCTAGCTATTTATTTATAGCCTAAAGGCTATTAATAGCCAGTGATTAAGTCCTAGATGCAATATAAGATATTACTAGAACTTAGCTATAAATATTAATTCTCTATCTAATAGGATCTTATTTAATAGTCTATATATACTAATAATATATTAATAAAAAACATAGGAAAGTTCTTTTGCATTTATAGCTTCTTTATAGGGTAAGTAATATAAGAATTTAATAAGTTAATTAATAATAACCAGGATACTATTATAAAAGATTCCTATTAAGGGTTCTTCTAATAAAGGTAGTTTAGTTATAAAGCCTATATGTTACAACCTGAGCGGTTACATCATGTATACCCCACCTTTTTACTTTCTTATCCCTATATTTCCCCATGAGATTATCTAATTAACAGTAGACTGACATTTACATAGACCGACGGCGCTCCAGGACTGCATTACTCTAGGACTAATAATAACCTAACTTATTTTTACTCCCTTTATATTAAATACTAGTATATATATATTCACTTAGCATTAGTTAGTATACTTAGCTTTTTACCTAAATATACTTAACCTGCCTTATTTACTATTAAGAGATATAATACTTTATAATCGCTTAGTATTATATGCCCTATAACTCTGCTAATATAAACTTAGAATAGACTAGTTTATCCCTTAGAAAACCTAACTATTATATATTAATAGCTCTTATTTAAAATATACTGCATAAACGCTAAATAATATTACTATACTATTATAATATCTATTAATACTAATAATAATAGATTAGTATTACTTTATATAGGATTATCTCTTAGTATAGCTAAAATAATAGCTAAGCTCTAATAGCTTAAAAATACTATATAAACCCTATAGGGGAGAATTAATAAATAACCTCTGC